AGCATCAACCACTGATTGTTGGTGATGCACCAGCAGCTGGTGTAATGATGGTAATGTAGTGACTGCTGCTGGTGATGCACCAGTCAATGATGGTGAGCCTTCTCCGCTTCCATTTGGGGCCAAACGTCCATTAAAAAGCGATGTTTGTCCTCACTTTACTAGGTTTGTTGATAAGTTTGATGTGATGAAAGCTAAGTACAAATATTGTCGTAAGATTCTTGGTGGTGATACTAGCAATGGTACCTCTCATTCGAGGAATCATAAAAAAGTGTGTTCAAAAACATATTCATGATGGCCATCAGAAAAATATTGCCGCTAATTTCCTTCCAAATGGCGTTCTTGGGAGGAAAGAAATATGTACTGGTCAGTTTAATGCAGAGGTTTCTAGGAATGAACTTGTTACTATGATTTTGATGCATGAGTATCCACTCAGTATGGTTAATCACTTAAACTTCAAAATATTCTGCAATTCTCTGCAACCCTTGTTCAAAGTTCCTTGTAGAAACACTTGTAAGAGTGTCATTCTTGCTATGTATGGGATTGAGAGGAAAAAGATGCAAAAGTTGATTGATGGTAATAAAGGTCGAATTGCTGTCACCACTGACATGTGGATAGCAGGTAATCAAAAGAGAGCATACATGGCTGTAACTGCTCATTATGTTGACAATCAGTGGAACCTTAGGAGCCACTTGCTAAGGTATATGACATATTGGCTGTGTGAATCTTTCATTTTTTTGTGCTTATGTGTTTAACAATAACCACTAACTAATGAATGGTTCTGCCTCTTGTTTGATGTTGTGTATCACATGTTTCTCTACGTTCCTGCTCCTCATACTAGTGAGAAATTAGCAAGTGTGCTTCGAGAGGCCCTCATGTCCTGGAATGTGGATTGTAAGTTATCCACTATCACTCTTGATAATTGTTCTACAAATGATGCCATGATTGATAAGATTAAGAGAAAAATGGTTCTTCCTGACTTCATAATGAATGGTTCATTGCTACAAATGAGATGCTCTGCTCATATTCTCAACTTAATTGTGAAAGATGGGCTTGAAATTATCAAAGATAGGATTGAAAAGATTAGGAAAAGTGTGGTATATTGGACTGCAACTCCAAGGAGATTTGAGTTCTTTGATGAGACTGCTAAGCAAAAAGATGTTGGTATTTCTACCAAACTTGCACTAGACTGCCCTACTAGGTGGAATTCCACACTCACTATGCTTGAATCTGCAATTCCTTACAAGGATGTGTTCACTCATTTGAGTCAGAGAGAACCTAATTATACTTCTGTGCCTAGCAGTGATGATTGGAAGTTTGCCACTGTTATCTCTAAAAAACTGGAGGTTTTCAAAAAACTTTCGGATCTATTTTCTGGAAGCAATTATCCTATTGCTAATTTGTTCTTTCCAAAGATTTGTGACTTGAAATTCGAACTGAATGAGTGGAGATATGGTCCTGATGAGATCATTGGTGCAATGGCTGAAAAAAATGTGGATCAAGTTCAGCAAATACTGGATTGATATTCATGTGTTGCTTATTGTGGTTGTTGTGCTTGATCCTGCATACAAGCTTGAGTTGATTAGGTACTATTGTGAAAAGTTTCAAAGCCTTGATCCTACTCTTGACCCTGCCACTGTTAAGACCACTGTTTATAATGTGGTGCGTGAGTATCAGTTGAAACAGAGGGCTAGGGATGATCTTTCTGCCTCCTCTGGTTATGGAAATGGTCTTGATGTGCCTACCTCTAGCGACCTTGGCTTTGAGCTTTACCTAAGACGGAGGAAAAGGTCTAAAACAACTTCACTGTGCTCTGAATTGGACCATTATCTGAGTGAGGGTGTCAGTCCTCGAGCTCCTAATGTTGGTGTTTTGGATTAGTGGAGGGTGAATGCTGGAACGTACCCTCTGTTGCAAGAGGTATCAAGAGATTTGCTTGTTGTACCAGTGACCTCTGTGGCCTCAGAATCAGCCTTCAGCTCCGGTGGTAGGCTGCTGGATCCTCATCGGAGTAGGCTGCACTTTGAAACTGTTGAGGCAATCATGTGCACTTGTACCTGGATTAAGGATGATATTAGCAAAGGTAAGGGGTTTATTTAATTGTTTCCAGCTCTGTTTGTGGTGTAATGTGAAATTAACTAACTCAATTCTCCTTTCTTTTGTCTGCAGATGCTGGAAAGGAGGGGATTAACGGATTGGATAGCTGTTTTTCTGCATTGAGAATGGAGGATCCCAGTTGTGAAGACTTTAAGAAAGGAGGTTAGTGAATACATAACAATTAGTTAGTAATTTCAATTTCAAAGATGGTGAATACTGAACAAATTTGTATGTGGTCACAGATTTTCAAGATCGCGCACTCCTGGACTTTGATGCTTGAAGATCAAGCATGTGACTGCTGCTGCTGAGTGCTTGTTGCTGCTGCTGCTGGAGAGACTTGTTGTTGTTGCCTGCTGGAGAGTTGAGACTGGAGAGTTACTGTTGCTGCCTGCTGGAGAGTTGTTGCTGCCTACTGCTGGAGAGTTGCTGTTGTTTAATGTTGAGCTTGATGACTCATTTTCTTTAAGTTTGCCTTGCTGCACTTTGGTGGATTTGTGATTTGCTAGTTGCTACTTTGTTTTATTGCTTGGATTGAAGTTTATGAACTTGCCACTATGAATTGGATGCCTTGAGCCTTTTGAATTTGTTTAGACAGTTCGGATTTTGGAAATTAGAGTTGGAGTGCCATTTGATTTTTCTCTAAGAATTTCCAGGTTGCATCCTTTGAATTTTGTTTGTTTTTTTTTGGTTTTTTTTTCCAGGCTGACAATGGTAGCGGGTATACCCGATAAACCCGATTGGAGCCCGCTGCCCGATGGATTTGGGTTGGGCCTGAAAATGAGCACGACAGGACTAGTGGGGCGGATTCGGGGAAAACCCGACAGACTTTCGGGCGGGTGGCGGATAGCCCTCCCCGGCCCCGATCCGACCCGTTGCCAAGCCTAAATTTAAGAGGTTCAAATCACAATTGGATGAACTATTTTATGCTTAACCTTTGAAGCATACAACTTATACATATGTTGAGTTATAATGAATTGCCATTTCAACATATTATTTGCATTAGTTATCGATTCAAATCAACAATAATACTTTATGATCCATCTTTCATCTTTCCACCTAAGATTGAGAGTTGTATGCATTATGCAATAAAAAAAAGGAACCAAGAGAAAGACTATGGCTTTTAGCAAGACCGTCCAATGAATCGTGAATGTTCTAGTCCAAAATTGAGAGCTGTTCAAATTTTTATGTATGATAAAATAAATAAAACAATGTTATTTAAAAATAATTTGAAATAAATATTATCTATGAGCTCTTCAGTTTGGGTTCTCTGAAAAATTATTTTCAACAGTTGTCACAACTAATCCAGTAAGGATTATCTATGTCATTTTAAATAAAAAATAAGACTTTCAAAACACAAATAAAAGTTTAACAATAAATCTACATGCCTCGTGTATATACATGATAATATATTAATATTGACCTATGACAAATACCAGTATTCTATAATTATACTCACAATCAATTATACACCACATCGGCGGCGGTCAGAAGAACTCGCCGCCATGGCTGGCGGAGATAGCTGAGACGATGGCGATGGGTTTTGGGGTTGAATTGGCTAGTCGTCTACATTTCCTCCCAGCCGAGATCCAGATTGATTGTCAGGTAGTCACGAAGATCATACGTGGCGAGCAGAGCACAAAGCTAGAACTGGGCCTTGTCTGCGCCGAAGTGAAGGAAAAGGCCCATGCTCTGGGCTCGGTTAGGTGGTCTTTTGTGGGCCGAAAGTTCAACTAGCCAACCCACTGCATGCTCCATACCTAGGGGTGGAAGTTTGGTTTGCGGATTGCGGATAATCCGCAAATCGCACCAAACCGCATACATTGTGGGTAACCATACCCACAATTTGTGGATAGTGGGTTGGGTATGGGTAGCAAAATATTGATTTTTGTGGTTAGTGGTTAACCACTATCCATAACGGTTAACCCACAAAATCCACAATAACCACACTAAGTATATTTATTTATTTATAATACTTTGTAATATTAAAGTATGTGAAAAGTAGAATGCTACAAATTAAAGTAGGCTCCAAAATCAAATATATACTTATTTTATAAAACAAAACCAAGTCAATACACCGTGTTCGTATGAGATACTTTAATTAAATAAGAATTGTCTGTGTGGTATATGTTTATTTTATAACAAAACAAAGCCAATAAATGTGGTTTTATAGTTTATCTAATACTTTATTAAATTTCTTTTATGTAGGTTTTTGTTTTTGTGTAAGAAGACGCTAATTCCACAACTCGGGAGAGAATTCCAGTTATCTCTTAAAAATTCGAATAAAAAAACAAAGGAGTCATGCTGCTGATAAAGATGCTAATTCCTCCAACCCATACTTGTTATCAATCTGCATTTTCTAAAGAAAGTGAAGTGACATGTAAGCGAGTGAAGTGAACCGAGGAGAGGGAGGTTGACTACTTAGGAGGTTCCGAATATCGAATCCTCGCTCGTTCCATGTCTTGGGCTTTTGTACTTAGGTTTAACTCAATATGATTTTTTTTGCCGTCACTCGACCGATAGGTTTATCATATACGAGTACAAAGGGTGAAGGAAGGAAAAATTTTGTGGGTATCCACATCCAACCCGCAGTGGATAGTGGTTAAGAGACTAAAAAAACAGTGGCACTACCCACTGTGGGGCGGGTTGTGGGTAGCATAATTCTATATTTGTGGGTGTGGTTATCCGCAAAATGTGGGGCGGAGAGAAGATTTCGGTGGATAGACAACTGTTTTTTTAGTCTCTTTATTGAGAAAAAATGACTACGTAAGATTTACACCAAATATTAAAAAAAGCAGAGCTTTTCGAAAAAAAAATTATACACATCTACAAATTCATTCGATAATATATGGATAAACTAATATCTACAAATTCATTCGATTCGATAATATATGGATAAGCTAATAGACCTGCATTGGAGGTCCCTTCGTTTATTTATATTTGAAAGGCTTGTGCCGAACCCTGGTCGGCCCTGGCTTTTAGCCAAGATGACCTCTACCTAGAAGGCTAGAACTAAAAGTAAGACGAGAAGAACATGCCACCGTCCAATGAAGTCATTTGGTAAAAAGAGAGAATTCCAATCTCCTATTTTCTCCATTTGTATATCCCAGCATAGAGAGAAGAATCGACTAAACACAAGAGATATTCCTACCAAAAGGAGGAAGAAACAAAAAAAGAGACATGAGAAGCCATGCTCAAATCCACAACAAAAAAAGGCCTAGGGACGATATGAGCCCTCTCACTAATCTAATTTATTTTGTTCAATCTTCATACTCAGTCTCTTCATCATCCTCCTCATTATCATCCCTATATCTCCACCCATCATCTCCACTCTCCCTATCCTCCTCTTCCGTCTCTTCACTATCATCTTCCTCCCCACCGTAAACCTCTCCTCCCTTGGATCCCACCGCCAACGGGGGCCATGGCTTCTTCGCCACGTTTAAGCTATGAGCCAACGGGCTCGACCCTTTGCTGCGTTGCGCCATCTTCGCAGGAGGCATCTTCAAGCTCGGCTTCACCCTGCTACTCTGTGATTTCTTCCGGCCATTCACCGCACGTTTGAGGGCACCATAACCGCTGCCGTCTTGATCGCTGCCCTCGTCCGAGTCATTGTTATCCACAGCGTGATGGCGACGTGGCATGATGGTGTTAATGTCGGTGGTCTCCTCGACGTTGTGGTCCGGATGGTTTTTGAGATGGAGCTTCAACTTGTACTCGTGGATGTAAGCCTTTCTGCATGTCTCGGAAGGGCAGCCGAAAGGGCGGCCTACTGATGCAGAGGCCGTAGATGCGGGTGTTGTGGAGGGAGGAGCTGATGAAGGTGGCTTTGGAGCTTTGATGGTTGGTCTCTCTGGTGGTGTTGCGTACCTCACCATCTCGACTGGTGGTGTTGCATTCTGCTAAAAAAAGTTAGGGAAAAGAAGGATAATTGAGAAACCCAGCTGTTAAACAAATTAGAGAATGGTGGCAACTAGAAGAAAGCTCTAATCTTTGGCTGAATCGGCTAAGGGGTAGTTTGGAACAAAAGATTCAAACAATGTATAATCAAAATTAGGGTTGGCTATACGGTCCGGTCCGGTTAAATTGGCCTAAATTGATCCGGTCCAGTCCCGTTTTTTTAAAATATAATGACCGAAGATTGGATTGGATACAGTCCGGTCTTGATCCAGTCCGGTCTTGACCCGGTCCGGTCCCAATTCGGTCTTGATTTTATATTGAGATTGTGGGAATTTGAGTGACCTAAGGCCTAAAAGGGTGAGGAGTTGGTTAAGTTTTGTACTAAGTGCAAAGGTTTGTGACCGTTTATGCAAATTACCCTTAAGTTTTGGGTGTTGAGCTCTCTTATCCGGTCTTTATCCGGTTTTTTACCTCAAATCCAAGCCCAAACATTGGATTGGATTGTTTACTATCCGGTCCCAGTCCGGTCTCGGTCCGGTTTCCGGTTTTTCATCCGGTCCCGGTCCAAATAGCCACCCCTAATCAAAATGCATGCATTTCAAAGAAGATGATGTAAAATGTTTCATTCTGCAAGTTAGTCTTCTCCTCTTTAACCTTTTGTTTAATACTCAAATTTTACCGTCCGCTTCCGACAAAAAATAGTAATCGACCCTAAAACGACGAACATTTTGAGGCCCCAAACGTCTAAGCAGTGTATATCTTGCAATAACCTTCTGTCAAAGCATGTATTCTACAGAACAGATTCTAACAATCACAGGTTCCAATCACTCAAGTAGATGAAAGAAAGAACCCACCTTTTCACTTTGAGACAGAACGTAACCAACCTTTTCGTGTTGGGATTGAATGTGGTTCCGTAGCTTGTAGTCATGGGCATATCTCTTCCCGCATTCTGGGTATGGGCATATATGATAGTTTTCTTGTGAATGTGTTTTCATATGTGACCTCAGGTTGAAGTCCAAGGAGAAGGCCTACAGTTCCAACATAGATAAATAATCAATTCTATTGCATGGTATGGAAGAGTAGAAAACTCCCACATCCGTGCAATCACCCATTTTGATGATACAGTGGTAATGAAAATTACCTTTCCACAATCTTCATGTGGACACACAAAGTTTCTCTCCCCAGTATGAATCAAGTTGTGTCTTTTCAACTTTGAACTGTCAATAAACTTCTGCAGCATAAACAAGAATCTGTCTTAGTGTTGTAGTTCAATCACTACCAAAAGGAAATTAGAGAAAACAAAGATCAAACTGGAAATCCTTTGGCCTTCTGTTAAAGGAAAAACAACTGCTTTTGGAGTGACAATTTCTACCTTAGAACTCAATATAAGCCGCTCCTTTAGTCATGCATTCAACAATTCAACACACATAACTTCAAATTAACAATAGTCCTTCAGTTTTCATACCTTGCCACAACCCTCCCAGTGACAAACATACTGGCGTTCCCCATGGATGTGAGAATGCTTTCTCAAAGCACCGGCATCTATGAAGGTTTTCCCACATCCATCATAACTGCAAAGGAACAGAACTTCGGTTGTAGGTTCTGGCTCTGGCTCTGGCGTTGGTGGATCTTTCGCTCTCTCTTTTAAGGCCTTCGATTGGCTCTCTGCATACATACATGATGCATCCACAGAAATGAAGGGTGAGAAAAAAAAAGTTACAGACTGAAATCTATCTGTATGCACAATCTGAGTTTCCAGTTCAGCTGTGTAGCTCCACTTATCCCGGACCATCAAAGTTTGATGTTGTTATCTAAACAAGATTGACACTGCTACCACAACTAAATGAAGCAACACTACACAATATGGAAACAGGTAAAAGAAACAATAGCCGAAAGTAGCAGAACTTACCTGTTACCCATCTTAAAACCGAACACTTTCCACCTGTAGCTACAACATCCTGTGGCACCCTAAAGAGGGAAATATCATATCATTATCTGGGATTCTGGGGCGAAGCAATATGCACATGTCTTAACCAAACAAACACGCAGAAACTTTACAGGTACCTTGCAGCTATAACAGTTTCTCAAACAAGACTTCAAAGTTATTCTTGCTTTAATGATCTCATCTTTCAGTATACCAACATATGCACCTAATCGAAACCATTGCAGGATAACTTTCCCCCACAATTTAGATTGTAACTTCCGATTCTGAGTTCAACAGTTCTAAACTCTAATAATCTCATCTTTCATTCATCTGCCAAGGATACCGTCCTATTAAATTTCCGTAAACCAATAGACAGCAAGCCCAATCACTTAGTAAACAGAGGGAAGCCCAGCATGAAGCTCCCTTCCATGGGGTTATCCTACACTCAACGACCTTTCCCCCATCTCTTCACATGCAACAACAAATTAATTCAACGAAACCACCAAACCGAGCGAAACCCTGATTGTCTAAACAAAAGAGAGAGGAAAACAATTCTCAAAGGTGAAGACTCTATTACCATTCTCTGAACCATTTAACGGCGGGAGTTTTGGAAGTCACTATCGGGCGTCTGTCGAACGGGTTGTGACTGTAGTGCGTCTCCATGAGTTTCCCCTCGTCCGACGACTCTTGAGCTCAGGGAACACTGAAAAGCAGCAGGTGACCGGAGAATTGGAGCACGGAAGCGAAGCGAATTGAGCGATAATATCCTCCGGAAAGAAAATTAGGGTTTAGGGTTAATTGGGGACGAAGAAAGAGGAACGGCCGTGATGCTCTCGGATTGATCCGATTAATTTGAAGGCTCTCAACTCTCAAGTTCCTTCTTTCCCTGGTCTTCTTCTTCTTCTTCCCCGCTTTCGTATTTTTCTCCTTTCTTCCCATTTTTTTCTTCTTTTTGTTGCTTTATCCTTTGCGGGTTAATTTTTGCTTTATTAGTTTTGGTTGAGAGACACGAGTACCGCCATAAACAAAGAAACGACAGTACATTTAGCTATCAACTACTAGTTATTGAAAGGAGAAAATCTCTGAAAATTTGTGGTAAGGGAGGCAGATTGGTGATCGAGAGGTTCCAGATTCGATTCTCATCGTTGTCATGGTGTTCCTGAAAGCATGTTAAATTTTTCTGAATTGTTGACGAAGGTCCTGGGGGTTTGACCCAACTATGACATTACCAAAGGTGATGATCGTGGAGAATGTTCCCGTCATAAATAAAAGTGATCCAATTCTCAATCCTCTCTTGTTAGTGTTGTCTCAATATTCATATTTAATTGTTGTTGTTCATGATTAGATTGAAGGACCATACTAGCATAATTTTACGTTTCCAAAGTTGTTTGATTTCCATGACTTATGAGATTTATTCTGAGGTAGCTTTATTTTGATTTTTATTAAAATTTTGATGGTTTTTGAAGCATTACTATTCAGGGCTGGAAGATTTGGGGGAGGGATTGCCTCGGCACACTTTTCCTTTGTTTCTAAACCGTTTGTTGGAGCTAATTCATCAAACGTCGGTGGTTATGGCTGTTGTTGCGATCCTTTGGAGGATCTGACGATCTCGGAATTGGGTTGTCTTTGAGGGCAAACAATTTGGGTTCCCGGCTCTCATGCGACAGTTTTACCAACAGTATGAGGAATGGGTGGGTCTCCCTGTGGATCGAACTCCGCCAGTAAGTACCCCAGTGTTGCAACCTACAATGCAGGCGGGTGGTTCCCATTTGGTTTGCATGTGGGACGGGGCTACTAGGTGTGGATCGCACTCGGCTGGTGGGATGGTTCTCTTTGACCCAGAAAGGAGGATTCTGCTGGCTAGAGGGGTCCAGTTTTCTCATTTGGATGACCCAGGGATGGTGGAATTGCTTGTGCTTAGGGAAGCTATTATTTGGTGTTTGGAGCAAGGCTTGTCGGAGGTCCGCTTTGAGGGCGATGCGAAGGTGGTTATTGACAAAATTAATCAAGCCGATACGAGAGATAGCAGGTTGGGTGCTGTTCTGGAAGAGATTGTTCATTACTTTCGTACTCAATCTGGTTTTAGTGTGCGCTTTGTAGGTCGGGAGAACAATAGGGTAGCTCATTTGATAGCTAGGAAAGCCCTTTCTTTGTTTCCGACTATGAGTCGCTTTTTTGATTTCCAGCCTTGGCTGGTTTCCAGGGTGTAACTATCTTCTTTTGATCAATACATGATATCTTTTGACAAAAAAAAATTATTTTGATATTTTTCAGTTCATCATCATAGAGTCATCGTTGAAGGAAATTCCCAAAAATGATATTTCAACAATTGAAAGACAAACTCTCAGGGGTCGTTTGGATGCAGGTTTTATAAAACCTGAGTTTTTAATCACAATCCCACACTTTAAAAACCTAGGTTTTTAATATGAGGAATTTTGATAAATCACTTGTTTGGATATAAACATGAGATTTTAATTAGTAAAATCAAATTACAATCTTATCCTTTATCTCCTACCTATCTCCTTCCCCTCATCTCTACACCTACGATCCAGGTTGGAATCAATTCTGAAAAGTTGTTTTTTATTTTATGGAGGTCGGAGCCAAGAAAATTACAGGGCCGAGGTATCAAATAGGTAGGGATCTAAGAGACTTGTCCATTAGTGGACTACAATCAGTTTTGGGAAGTTGAAACTGAAGAAGGAGAAGAACCCAAATTTAGGAGGAAGAAGAATCGTGTACCAATCCAGATCGACAATTTTCCCCGCCATTCGTCGTCTTCCTGCAGTCGGCAGTCCAGATCGGCAATTTCCCCCCGCCATTCATTAATTCCTCCAGCCTCGAAGACCACCATTCATCTTCTTCCTCCATCGCCTCCCCCAATCTTCTTTCTCCAACCTCGAACAATACCCAGAAACAAACATGTAGACTGCCAATCCATTCTCTCTCGAGCTAACTCACAATCTCTCTCTCTCTATCATTCTGTTTGCCAAGAACAACGGAGGAGATTGACAGATCTCGATCCGTGCAGAGGGAATGGCAATGGCGGTTCCTTCTACCTGGAAGGTCGACGGGTTTAGAAGTGTTGGAGTTGGACAGGTCAACTGGTTTGTAGGTATTGGAAGGGATGGAGTCGCCGGAAGGTCAGGTTTGTTAGCGATTGCAGAGGTAGAAGAGGACAAGTTTGGAATAAAGCACAAAAAAGTGAGGGATTTCAGAATAGCTGATCCCCATCAGCTATTTTAAAAACCTGCATTTGAAGAAGTTCAAAATCTCTAATGATAACAATCTCTTATATTTCCAAACATATTTTGTTTTAAAATCCTGCCTAATGAGGGATTGTTTTAAAATCCCTCATAAATCCCTCATTACAAACCTTAATCCAAACGACCCCAGGTGATTTGTAAAGTTCTGCATTGTAGTTGTTATATTTTGTTATTCAGTTTAGAATATGTTTCTTTTTTTCCAAGTAATGCGTTGTGTTACTAATCGTGGTTTAATAGTAAAAGTCTAAAAAGACATTTTAGAACCAAGGACCTGATTAATAGTGTATTCGATTCAGTTTGGTCCAATTCAAATGTCAATTTGGTTCATTTTTTAATATAAATTTGGGCTAATACCACTGGGAAACCCGAACTATTAACTTTGTGTCATTTGTGTCCTAAAGTATTTGATATGACAATTGTGTCCCAACGTTTGGTAGTTTTGTGTCATTTGTATCCTGACAGTTTCGTTGACCGTTATAGATAACGGTTGACCAAACGGAAGTCAACATTAACATTGACTTTTGTTGATGTGGCAGCCACGTAGATGCCACGTCAATGACACCTCGTATTTTTAATTAAAAATTAAATAATAAATAATAATAAAATAATATATTGTTATAAAAATTTAAAAAATGTTAACCAAAAAAAAAAAATTAAAGAAATGTACTCAATTAACCCTCCCTCTGCAGATTCACCTCCCCTCCCCCGATTACCTCTCCCTTCCTTCTCTCCATCCCCGCCGCTGCTTCCGCCTCCTTCTACGCCGTCGCCGTCGCCGCCACCTACGACATCGTCTTTCTTCCTCGAGGTGGACTGCTAGCTTCTCTTTCCTTCATTTTCTCGTCTCTGTCCCTCTTTCCTTGATTTCACGATCGCGATGTCACAGATTCCATCGACTCATCTCGGCTATTGCACGTGGATTGCTTGGGAGAAGCTGCTGAGAGAAATCGATCGATCTCATCTCTGATTTCCATTTTCCTTCGTTTGATCGAATCGATCCCCAACAGGGAAGGGATGAGCCGGTAGCAGGTGAGGGACGCGCTTCATCCCATCCACCCTGCCGACACCATCACCAGCCAACACCACTCCTCCAACACACCTGCTTTCGATTTCAAGGAACCCAATGCCCAGCCATCAATCGGATTCGGCGAAATCGTCGCCGCGCGTCACCATCGGCGTAAACCACGAAGCTTCTGGTGGCGGATTGGAGGAGGGGAAGGGGGCTTGTGATTGGGCGATGTCGGCGATGTTGGCGACGACGAATCCAATCTGGGCGCAGCCTCTGTTTTTTCTCAAATCCTAGATGGCGATGATTACGAATGGCGAGGAGAAGGGGGAATGGCGGCGAGGGAGCTGGAGGAGGTGGCGGCGTTCGATGAGAGGCGGCAGGGAGGAGAGGAGAGCGAAAGCGGCGAGGAAGAGGAGGATGAAGGCGGACAGAGCCGAGATGGGTTTTCATTTTTATTTTTTATTTTTGTAATTTTGTAATTTTCTTTGTTTATATGAAAAATAATTATAAATTAATATTATAAATTCCACTTCAGATGCCACATCAGCGCTTACTGGATTTTCTGTTAAAAACTAACGGTCAACTCTAACGGAGAAATAGTTTAGGACACAATTGTCATATCGAATACTTTAGGACACAAATGACACAAAGTTAATAGTTCGGGTTTCCCAATGGTATTAGCCCAATAAATTTCACATGATCAAACGATCGAATCACATTATATTCGATTCGATATGAACCAATCCAAACATCCATTTGATGTGATGCGTTCTGTAGGACCAACCCATTGTACACAGCTAGTCATGATAATTTGAAAGTAAAATTGTAACTTAAGGACTGTGAGGCTGGTATTACTCGACCCGCAGTTGCATGGGACGGGACATGGATATCTACTTCCGACCCGTCCTGCCTTGCCCCATTCTTGGCCCATTTTATCACAATTTCTTATAGCATCTATGCATATTTCTCCTATTTTGACTTTTCTTCTACTAATTAGAGTCAATCTTTCAATATGTTAGACTCAATTATCCATTCTATTATCACTATTTTTCAATCATAAAGTGTTTTCCCCTTCGTTTTATCGTATAAAATAAAATTTGCGTGTAATTTTTTCAAATAACATGTAAGAGTGGGTCGACTCACCTCGCTCTGCACCTGCGCGAATTTTATCCGCCCTGACCCACAATAACATGGAGCAGAGCATGGGTATTGTGGTACACGCCCGCTTAGCCCATTGCCATCACTATGAGGGCTTGTAACTTAAAGGGATAGAGGACGGGCCTGGACTACAGATTGAGTAGGCTGCCCACAATTTGGGCAAGACCTAAAACGTTGGTCTATTTGAGAATCTACTAAGCCCAAGGCCAAATTTCATGATTCACCCTACTCCGTTCCCAAAAATTGCAGCATAAAGAACCCGCTCCTTTCTCCCTTCAACGTCTCTCTTCTTCCTCTTCCTCTTCCTCTTCCTCTTCCAGCCATGTCTACACCTTCACTACACACTTTCCTTCCTCGCCCCTCACTATCACAATACCATCTCGCCGTTAGGTAAGCTTTTTGCTCGATTCCTTCCTCCCAGCCACTCAAATTTGATCGTCCCTTCCAATTTGATCTTTGCATTCCGTAGTTTCCTATTGCAATTTCTGCTCATTTCCCTTTTGCATGCATGCCACTTGAGCTGGGTTAGGGTTCTTCTGAACTGACGATTCAATCAATTGCGTCTCGGAAATGCTCGATTTTTTGCTCACTCATGGTTTTTGTTTTCTTTTCTGCTTTCGTCTAGGTCGTTCTAGGGCTTGCTGGTGTCTCATTTGGTGAGTATTTTCTTTGGGAAAAGCTTGAAAAATGGGGTTTGTGGACAACATGATGCAAGCTAAATCGACGAACGTGGTGTCATCGTCCGGCAGCAGTGCTTCCCGCGGCTGTGTTGGTGGTCGTGGCGATGGTGGTGGTGCTAAGTTTAAGGCGCCGAGGGTTTGGTGTGTTAGGCGTTATCCGCCAAATTGTGGGCCTCGCAGTCTTCCCAGACCAGGTGGGTTAGCAGGAGTCTCTAATGTTGGCAATGGTGATAATGATCCCGGTGGACTTTCTGCAAATAAGATTGAATCTCCGGATTTAGGACCAGATGATAACTTGGGATTGTCAAGTTCTGGCGTTATAAATCCACTGCTCTTGGAGAGATGCAGTAATGATGTTCGTGATGATTTTGCTGGACATCCTGCGGCTAAGATTGAATCCCGTGATTTAAGAATGTCAGAAAATTTGGGCGGGACAGATATTACTGGGAAAATGCATGATGTCAAATCCAAGTTGGAGAGTCCTACAGTGTCACCTGATCATATGAATGGACGCTTAGCAGATATGCCGGAATCTGTCGGTACTTCACTATCAGAGTCGCGGAATGTTGCAGCGATGAGTGGACCAGTAGAAGCTCTAAAGGATGATGTTATTGGTTCACCACAAGATTCCTCCAACGAAGATGTTAGTGGTTCATTCAAAGCATCTACCACGCATAAATATCCTCCGAGGAGAAAATTTTCAGCTGTTAGGCGCTTCCCACCAAACTGTGGAAGAAATGTTAAACCTCCTACTAAGCAAGAACTAGAGAAAGTTGTTGCTCCGGAAGAGGTTAAAGATGTTAGTATGGATGGCGGAGCTCACAAGGGCAGGTCTGAAAGCAATGTTCTGGAACAGAAGCCTGTGAAGATTCGTTTGAAAGTGAAATATTCTACTGAGAAAGCAACAAAGAGTGGAGATGATGTTGGTCAAGAATGTGGACTTGATAGAGGCATTCGGTCGCCTTATCAGATTGGGGAAAGGTCCAAGGTAGTCCATATGTCTGATAACAAAGGAGAACTGAAGGGGCACTTGCAGAAGGTTGCTTCCGAAAGACACAGTACAAAGCTAACTGTCCCTAAAGAGTTTGATGATCTCAAGGTTGCACCAAAAAGGGCGGCGGTGTTTGGTCATATGGCCTCAACTGGCCATTCCTCGACCAAGGGTAATAACCTACTCAGTGATGGAAGCCAAAGGAGCAGTAGTAACAAAAAACAAGTTACAGCACAAGAACAAAGAAAACCAATTACCTCGTCCAAGGTAAAACCATCATGTAAACCCATAAGACATGAATTTTCTAGGGCGGATGATAAACTGGATGATACAGAGGATAATGAGAAATGTGTTGGTTCCCAATTAGTTAGGAGGAGGACCAATTTAAGTGTTAACCTGACTCCTTTCGGAACTACCACTGCCAAAGGCACCAACAGTGCCAGAAAAAAGGTGAGGGAAGTATTACGCTTATTCCACATTATTTGTAGGAAGTTGGTTCATGAAGCAGAAACTAACCCCAACAAAAGAAAAATTCTCAAGCGCGTTGACTGTCTGGCCGCCAAAGAGCTGAAAAGTAGAGGAATGTGCCTCAATGAAGGCCGGCGTATCATTGGAGCTTTTCCAGGAGTTGAAGTTGGTGATGAGTTTCTGTACCGGTTTGAGCTTAACATCATTGGTTTTCATCGCCACACTCAAGCCGGTATTGATTGTATGCAGCAAGGCCAAGATTTATTAGCAGTCAGCATTGTAGCATCAGGTGGATATGAGGATAACTTAGATAGCTCAGATGTCTTAGATTACACAGGGCAAGGTGGGAACTCTAGAGATAAGGAAGCTGAAGATCAGAAGCTTGAAAAAGGTAATCTTGCTTTGAAGAATAGCATCAAGGCAAAGAACCCTGTAAGAGTGATTCGTGCAGAAATGAAATTGTCGAAGGTTTATGTATATGATGGTTTATACACTGTGGAAAAGTATTGGCAAGAGCCAGGGCCACATGGTAAGCTAGTTTTCAAGTTTCGGATGGTTCGAGTTCCGGGTCAACCAGAGCTAGCTTGGAAACAGGTGAAGAAGTCTAAAAAATCCAAAGTCCGGGAGGGTTTGTGTGTCGGTGATATTTCACAAGGTAAAGAGTTGATTCCTATATGTGCTGTGAACACAATAGATAATGAGAAGCCACCAACATTCAAGTACATCACCCAAATGATATATCCGAAAAGCCTCACCCGTCCTGGTGGTTGCAACTGTAGAAATGGGTGCACTGAGTCAGGTTCATGCGCTTGTGTGGCGAAGAACGATGAACATATTCCATACAATCATAATGGAGCAATTGTTGAAGCGAAGGATCTTGTCTATGAGTGTGGCCCTTCATGCAAATGTCCACCTTCTTGCTACAACAGAGTCAGCCAGCATGGAATTAAATTCCAGCTCGAGATTTTCAAGACTCATTCAAGGGGTTGGGGTGTTCGATCCTTGAACTCGATTTCTTCCGGAAGTTTCATTTGTGAGTATGTCGGAGAACTTCTTGAAGACAATGAGGCCGAGCAAAGGACTAATGATGAGTATCTGTTTGATATTGGAGGACATGGTGATGAAGAAGATGTGCAGGACTCTAACTTCACAATTGATGCTGCAGAGTTTGGTAATGTGGGGAGGTTCATCAACCATAGTTGCTCCCCAAATCTTTATGCCCAGAATGTGCTGTATGATCATGGGAATCGGAAGTTTCCTCATATAATGTTATTTGCTGCTGAGAACATTCCGCCTTTGAGAGAATTGACTTACCACTATAATTATCAGATAGATCAAGTTTATGATTCGTATGGCAATATCAAGAGGAAGAATTGCTACTGTGGTTCTGCAGAGTGCACAGGTCGGATGTATTAATGCCGATATGTTATGGAGATTCTGAAAGTAGCAGCTGCCGGGTTTTGCTAGCTCAGTAATTGTAAGTTGTTGCTGTGATTTTCCCCCCACTCCTTAGTCCTCATAAAATTTTGATGATCTGTGGGCTTCCTGAAGTCCGCGTTCTGTGTATTCTTCTTATTTATGGCCGAGTACTTAGATGTTTAACGATGCAAATGTCTATAGGGATTACAAAAGCCAAAGTATCTCCATGCTGTTGATATCTCTGCCGGCTGTTATTCTCTGGTCTACTTGGTTGATCATGTAACTAACAGTGTGCATGTTTACAGCGGTCTCTGGCTTTGTGAAGAACTGAATTGTAGCCCCCTTTTCTTTACACACGTTAGATATTAAAATGACTGCGAATTTCAGTTTTCCCTATGACGAAATGCTTGAGTTTAAACTTCTATGCTAATTATTTGTCAAAATAATTTTCATGTCATTGTGCCTATGAGATACACTTTTTAATTGGACTTCTTTGCTAGCTGTATATTGTTTAATATAGGTCTTCTTGATGTAAATTGAGTCCCTGTCACTTGAATATCCTCATAATATGCTTTTACCTTCTTTTTCTTGATTTTCATTTCAATCTGAATGCATAAGTTTGAGGCCGCTTGGTGTGTTGCATCAATGAAGTCTCCAAAACTTAGGTTATCCTGATACTTTACATAATCTGGAACTTTTAGAGCCTTCTGATGCATGCCTATGCGAGTGGGAGTAAAAAACTCGTGAATTAGTTTCTCGTCTATTCTTTTCGCAACTACCAGCTTTATTCATCTGCCTACATGTGGGCTGTAGCAACGTAGTAGCAAACATTTCGAATAACTGACGTAGTTTTCTTTTCATTGATGACGCAGGATATTTACCAAAGGAAGCATTTTTCAGCCATAATAATTATGGAAGATCTCTCAAGCAAGCTTGACGTGGGAATCATAACCAGCACCAGGCTTCCACGAACTCGGTAAGGCCTTATTTGCTTCTACCCATTTCTGTTCCCCATTGCTAGTCCCAACTTTGACCTTTACTTTTAGAGCACCCGATGGCGGATTAGGCAAGTCCCAAACTCCACCCCACGCCTTGTTCATACTTTTCCATTCCTCACCACCCTCCTGCATTCCACAAAACCAAAATTAAGTTGCGATGCATGTGAACTTCATGAACTTCTGGATTATTAGGACCCATTGTTATGATATTAAGTTGACTTGACGGTGTTAGTTCAGCAATTAACCGCTGGGGCTTAAACATGAAATAAATGATAGCCTTAGGTGCTCTAAATGCTACTTCGTCAAAAAGGAAATCAGTCGAGAAATATAGCTTACCGGGCAAATTTCCAGACCAAAGATATCTTTTTCCCCACCGTGGAACATAGGGGCTATGGCTAAGTAGTGAGGGAAGTTGCTCTGCTCCACAACCTTGAATATGAGGTTGTAGCCTGGGAACTGGCACGTTGTACGTCGGTACTCAACGTCCACCACCCCTTTCCAGAATAGCTCGGCAGTCTTCCCCGGATGAGCCATGCTTCCGAAGGCATGTGCGCTGAGAATGAAATCAGTGTCCCCTCCTGAGGCATTGTCGGTCACCACCACGGTTATCCCTTCCTCTTTGCATAGGTTGTCAGCCTTGCATCTCACCTGGTAATGATGTATGATCATAAATCAGTGTGTTCGTTTCAGCTGTTGACTTAAAGGCTGAAACATACATATCTTTTTCCATCTAACCCAGAGCAACTCACTCATTCATTTCTGTATTATTAAACCGACTATCCATCATTTCATCAAGTCTACAGCTTACTCATTCTTGAATGATACATTCTTTTACTGGTCTGGTTTGGAATTTCAGGTTTCAGAAGGGTTCATACCTGGTAGCACGCTCCACAGCCGATCCCGTTATTCCACAGCCCGGAAACTCCAGCCACCAGTGCATTGTTGATGGTGCTTCCATGTATGCCATAACCACAAGCTCCAGCTACACAAACCAACCCATTATGTTATATAACTTATGGCCGTAAACCGAAAGAAAGAGAAGGAAGTAAAGAAGAATGTTGCTATGTTCTTACTTGATGTGCCCAAGCAATCCGGGCTGCGGTAGTACTCGGCTTTCGACCTCCGGAACTCAGACGATGATGATGCAGGCAGCAACATGAGTAACACAGAAGAAAGGAGACAGATATGAAGAACAAGAAGACTCATGGTGAATATGGAAGAGGAAAGAAGCATAGAGAGATAGGAATGGGATCTCTGTTATGCAAAGGTAACAAGATCAATCAATGAAAGGAAAGGACTATGGTTCTCAGTGGGCCAAAACTGTAACTTTTGTTGTTTGGTTTGATGGAATGTAAAATGGGAAATGGTCCACAGGCACAGAGGAGGACATAGTTTGGTCAGTTTCTTCTGTTCTTTCTTCTCTCCCATTTACCAAGAACCCACCTCTCTATCTTAATTCGTATTCATTGCTGCCTGCCTATCTAATTATTTATTCTTGTTCTTGTTTCTTCCCCTCTACGTCCCCTGTTTTCCTCTACCGCTTCTACTGTTGGAATTGACGATATTTTTAATGTCTCGTGATCCTACGCAGTGTCCTAATAGAATGGTTAGGCTCGAGGTGAGAGACTCTGGAAGGACTAATGGTGGTCAGTAAATGCTTCAGGTTCAGGCCGCTCCAACTGTGTGTCTGCTGGCTAGACCCGAGATGAGAGATTGGGTGATTGGGCATAATGAAAGAGGAGATGGAAGTATTCAATTGCACAAAAAATGAAAAAAATCATATGGTCTCTCAATAATTCGAGTTGATATGACTAATTGGTTTCGAGTTGATAAGTCCAATTGATCACTTTGGTAGTTCGTGGAGCGAGAGTGCAAATGCTATGCATGCAAGTAAGTGGAGTTAGAGAATCAAACAAGCTACATCAAGTACTACGATGGTCGGAAGAGCGGTTATTCGAGACAGTTGCATCTGATGACTATAAATAGGAGAAATGAAGACTCGAAAGGGTTTCGAGAGTCAACATTTGACACTTCATGTCGAACTTTATATTAATCTTGATCTAGGCATACGTTTTAGTTTCTGGAGCTCTCACTGAACTTTTATAGAAGTAGAGTAACTTAATTTAGTTTGTTTCACAATCCATCAAAAAGCACCAAACACCATCATTCGGATTTTGTTTGAAAAGGTGTAAACCGTATTATTTAGATTGTTCAAAAAGTAAAAAATGCACCTATTAATATCAATGCAAGCATTTTACTCCCATATATAGTTTCATCGTATTGCAAAACTACTTCATCCAAGCAACCCCGCATTTCACTTTTACCATTCAGATTCACATTCCATTGTTCCTTGGAAAATACCACATCCCATCTGAAACTTCATTGCCAGAATATAGTTTTTACTAAACAGTACAGGCAACAGCCCAAAGGCGCTGCAAATTTTATTCATATAAAATCATAAACGTGACAATAATGCCCGAGAAGTACACTAAAGGCCCATGTCTTCGTTCACCAAAGCCCAAAGAGAAAGGCCCATCATTATTTCTTGACGCCTCACTACAAACCACACATTCTATATCATCAAATCCATCTAAGTCCCTTCCCCAAGCCCAAACCCAAACCCAAAAACAAAGCTACAAAATTAACACCAACAAACAACTCCCCAACTCAAACAAAAACACAAATTATCTACACCTATATTATAGTTTAGTTAAGTTGGACATTGGAATCATAAGTAGCTCCAGCCTTCCACTCCCCAGGAATGACACTTTTGGACTCAACCCACGTCGTCTCGACGCTGCTCGCCAACTGGAACCTCAGTTTGAGTTCGCCTTTCGGCGGAGTAACGACGTCGAAAACGGCACCGTACGCCCTCCTCATTCCCCTCCACTGCTTGCAATCCTCCTGCCAAATCTCGACCGCGGCGACGTCGTATTGGCCGGCCTGGTAGAGGAGCACGACGGCCAGGTAGTCGGGGTACTTGCTGTGCTCCTTGACCTTGACCACGATGTTGTAGCCGGCGTAGCGGCAAGGGATCCGCTTGTACTCCACGTCAACGACGCCGTATTTGTAGAGCTCCGGCGCGCAGTTGGGACGCGCCATCCTCCCGTAGGCGCGTGGGCTGAGGATGAAGTCCGTGTGGTCTCCCTCGCCGTAGTCCGTCACCACTATGTTGACGCCTTCGTCGGTGCAGAGTTCTGGCGCCTTGCACCTCACCTGTGTGTTCAAAAATATACATCATTCTAAAATGATTACTGAGTTTAAAACAAAAAAATTAAAATTAAAAAAATAAATAAACATCTTCATCACCAACCTGCAACATATGGAATACATAATATATGGTTCTCTTAATGCACCAAAAAGTAATTGATGTTACTCTATGGTTATTATACATAAACTAATACAATTGGGACTCTTAGTCTAATGATGAGGAACTTATGTGGAAATAAAACACTATTAGTTCATTAGTGGTATGGTGGCTAATGAATTATATTATTAGCAACTTTACCACATCACTTTTGGTGTTATGTAAATCAATGAGCCAATAGTTATCAGCCCTATATATACATTTAAATTTATAGTATACACTACTTATTTTTGATATTTAAGTCTAGTACTTATATGCTATTGAAAATTTGAGTTAAAAAGTTAATTGATTTACCTGATAACAACCGCCACATCCTGTACCGTTCTTCCAAAGTCTGGAGACTCCAGCTACGTTAGCATCATTCACGTTCCTTCCAAATTCACCGTACCCACAAGCTCCAGCTGAAAACCCACGATATAGTTAATCTTAATCCCATCATCCATCTATAGGATTAGTCAATCGTAGGAAAGACTAGATAGTTTGTCCAATGGAAGAAGTCAAGACACGATAATACTAATATTTATACGAAAACAAATGAGACATATGCATCATAGTTGACATGAATGACACTTTTGAATTTTAATTATCACTCACATGTGTAAAATCCTCACAACGGAAAACTACCATTATGAATTAAGGACGTGTAAAAACTCAAACAAGAAATCACAAAGATAACTCAACCACGGATTGCATGTTGTCACCATGTCACGTACTACCAGACTAACCACGAGTTCTTACATAATTGCCCATAATTTCGAATCAATTAAACAAGATAACAATACTAGCCAGAGTACAAGTTTGAAACATACTTGGAGTCCCTAAGCAATCAGGACTGCCGTAGTAAGTAGCTCTTGTGCAGACAAAGTCATCCCCAATGCTCAGACCAGGCAACAGCATTGCTACCACAAGGCCAAACCCATAAGCAAGTGCACAGCCAGCCATAGTTCTACAAACTAGTTCAGCAAATATGGAGAGCTAGAAAAGGAAGAAAGAGTAGAAAGTGAGGGATGTGGGAAACTGGAGGTTTGTGACAATCTCATATTTATAGGTGGTGATGAATGGCTGGCCAGCCTTTACTGTTAAGGCAGCTGCTGCCAGTCCACCTTTGCTATTGGGGTGAATTTGGGATGATGAAGTGTTGCAATAATAATATTTACATGCCGACTTTCTGCTTTTTTTAAGGTCAATTTGACCCATTTAGTTTTCAGGCACAATGAGCTGCATACATGTGTTGATTATAGTATAGTACTGCAAGTGGGTAGTACAACGATTTTGAGAGTTAGAATCTGCCTAACTTTTTTATTCTGAATTCATTGAGATATGTGATCATATGACGTCTTCCAAGTTCCAATTGGGTTTCAGTTTTTTGTACCAAATAGTTAATATGTGATCATATGATGTCTTCCACGTATAGGGGGCTCATATGTTGCTTGGTTATTTGATGGTCGATGGAGAAAAAAAATTAAGGAATGCTTTGATTTGGGCTAAGGGACCTTATGTCTAACGATATTGGAGTATTTCAGTAAGGTTCAGTAAGTGGTTTCAACTCAAGTTTGTTGAGAGGGTACCCGAGTCCTTGGGACGCCAACAAGACGTGTGGTCGCGGGCGTTTAGTTTAGGTTTCACCAATGCACTCAAAAGCGCGATTCTACCTAGAAGCGGTTGGGTGACCTAGAAGCGTAAAACCGTAAGCTTTTAATTTTTAAAACGTAGATTTTGACTACATTTGTATGGGAAAATCACGATTCTACGTAGAAGCGTTTTGGTGACCCAAAAACGTAAAAGCGTAAACTTTTAAGTTTTAAAGCACGATTTTAACTGCATTGGATTTCACACTTCACTGGGATAAGTTGAGTCAAGACCTACCGTCGTTCAGTAGATCAGTTTATCCTTTGTTATCCAAGTCTATGCACCACATGTGCTATGGATATGTACAAACTAATAGATTTCTCAGATTTCATACTCCAACTCATTCAAATAAAATCAGCAACTTGACTGGACTGTACCCACCAATTAATAATAATCAGCCATTATATCTGCTAGGTTGGGTTGGAACGCACTGAGCTAGAGATTGCCATGTCAAACTTGCTAAGCATTTTGCTCTCCATAATATCTGTGTTTGTCAATCCATTTCCACATGAAGAAGAAAATAAGGAACCTATCAAAATTCAAAAAGATAAGAAAGAAAAAGGAAAACCAGAACTTAAGGAATCTGAAAAAAGGATGATGCATATGTCAGGTGAGGGAGCACTAAGGGGCTGCTGATCCAATTTACAAATGCCCAATACTACAATTATACCTATAAACTCCACAATCTCCTCCAGAAACATGCTCAATAAATCCATCTGAGTGGTTAATCAGACATACTTAGGCACTTAGCAAAGACGAGTAATGTTTACCAAATGTTTTTAGTAGAGGAATCGCTATTTTGGAACCCAAATCACAAATCTTAACGCTGATACTAAATCATACCACAAGAATTTCCGTCTCGAAGATCACATCTCTCAAGTTCATTAGAACTTTTTTAAGTGAAGTCCAGTGCCTCAACCACCTCAAAGACTGCAAGAAAGGTATGTATAAATTTTAGACGTTATAGTATTTGGTATGATCTTTGATATGTGCTCCAACCCCTCGATCTAGATCAAATATGTTGGTGGCAGCCTCAAATCCATATTTGCAAAGATGGATTTTTGTGGATATCCACACCCAACCCTCATCAATCCACAGTGGATAATGATTATCCACTAACCACTGCGATGCGAGTTGTGGGTAGTATAATTGCAAATTTGTAGGGGTGGTTACCCGCAAAATGTGAAGTGGGAACCACACCCAATTTCCACCCCTATATAATATGATGATCGTACATGAAAACCATGTTTAGTATTTCCTTGGTTTGTTTGGGAAGTGGGGAGAAATTGGGGTAGGTGATAGAGCTCCGGATTAAGCTCTATCGAGGAATTGGTGATTAGGGATCAACTAGGGATTGATCCCGGAAATTGGGAGATAGATGATAGAAGAATTTAGGGGATTTGAGATGAGAAGGAGGAAGGAATAGGGCTGCTGCCGCTAGGCAGCTTGGAAGAGGGAGGGGGAGGGTTCGGCGATCACAAGGGGGAAGAGAGGAGGAGGAAGAGCAAATAGAAATTAGGTTTATTCTTGCTTACCATCACCTACGTAAACAACAGTTTAAATACCCAAAACACAATTACCGACTAACTACCCCAACTTATTAATTCCCCAACTATTCCCCAATAACCAAATTAATCCCGAATTAAATAATTCATACCGACATTAATCCCAAATAAATAAAACGTCTATCATTCCCGCTCTCTTCAAAACAACCTTGTCCTCAAGGTTGATAACCGTCTCCTGCATCTTCTCCTTCCCTTGCCTCATCCTCTGCCTCGTCCTCCCACCTTCCGACCAGCATCATCAAGTCCGGACGTGCACACTTATGACCGATCGTGAACCTCTCGTCGCAGTTAAAGCACTTCCCCTCCCGCCTCTTTTGCTCGATCTCCGCCGAAGATAGTCGCACAAATCCCTTCGGTGGCGGTCGTGCCCCACCCCTTGCGGCCGCTCCTGGCGCCTCCAACGCCGCGGATCCCCTAGCTCCAGCCGTGGCTCCTGCCACTCCTCCTCCTCCACTGCCGCCCCACCACTGCTCCCGACACCACTAGCCCTCGGGTAGCGGCCTATGGTGCTCCTCCAACTAGCAAGCTCCTCTTCCTTGTACCCTGCAAGACGAAAAGCAGATTTCAAGGAGTCCGGTTCAAAGACCCGGACAGCAGCAGCAATCTCCGGCTTCAGGCCCGCCATACACAGCCCCACCAATGTCTCTTCGGGAACCCCATGGCATTGATTGCCCAGTTTGAAGAATTCAGCACGGTAATCCGCTACTGAGCCGGTCTGCTTGAGCTTGGCCAACTGTTCCGGCGCCCATCCCTCCGATTTACCGAACTGGTAACGCAGCTCCTCCTGAAATAGCGGCCATGTGATCAAGGTTCCCACTGCCCCATACGATCTCTCCATCCATTCCCACCATTGCAGGGCTTCTCCTTCTAAGTAGAAGGACGCCAGATGCGCCTTCCTCTCCTCCGGTATGTGGTGGTTTCTGAACCACCTCTCGGCTGCATACAACCACAACCCGGCATCCTCCTGACCGTTGAATTTGGGAAACTCAATGGTCGGGGGCTTGGCCCTAAAGACCATCCCATCAGTTCCATCATAGGCAGTGGCGGACCCAGAAAATTTTCATAGGGGTGTCCTCTTTTAAAAAATAAATTTAATAAAAAAAATTAATAAATTTTTTTTGTAAATATGAAAAATACATTACTCGTATAGGTTAAAAAAGTCCATGATATGTTTTTATATTTGGAAATAAATGTAGAATACACTTGGTGTCTATAGTGTTAAATAAATTGTCTCTATATACGCTACTAGACAATCATTCACGAACTTATCGCATATTCGATTTGTAAACTTGTTCTTGATGTAACCCAAAGCTGCAAGACTCTTTCAACACTTGTTACAATCATAAAATCAATACAAATTAAGGGTAGTTTGAAATTAGTTTAATTGTTAGATTTTTAAAATAATTAGAGATAGGGAATGCCATTTTACTCACATTGTTTAAAATCGAACAACAAATGAGTTTAGTTCAACGGAAATTAAGTTTATTAATAATAATAGTGTTCTAGATTTGAACTATCCAACCTATCACTTATATTCCTATACACAAATGACAGAAAGATAATCATTTTTTCAAATTTAAGGGGTGTCTCTCACTATCAATTTTTTTTTGTCCATACGTAAATTACTACCGGGAGTTGGATAATCGTTTTCCCAAAATTTAGGGGTGTCCGGGGACACCCCTAAACCTCCCTGGGTCCGCCCCTGATCATAGGCAGGGTGATATGAACCATACCTGTCATAACCCGGACCACCCGACTGGTTCTGGTCGAGCTGGGCTCCTCTTCCTCGCCCAAAACTGCCCGCGGCTCCTCTCCCCATCGGACCCGTCCCATTTCCCCCTCCATACGACCCCTGCCACATATTTGGGTCCATGCTGGCCGATCTGACCAACCCCTGCCCGAACCGGTTCGGTCCACGTCTGGTCGGCCCGGTTCAACTTGTCCTGGTTCGCCCCAGCCTGGATCGGTCGGCCCATGTTCAACTCGACGGGTTGACCCGCCTCCTCGGCCCAATCCGCCCTCCTGCCCTGGTCCACTCCGCGCGGCTCGGCCCCCTGTCAGCCATGGGCCCAAGTAATCTTCAGCACCAGCCGGGTCGGCCCACGATGTCGTCTGACCCACCAGGCTGAGCTCTTCCTCGGTCTGCTCCGGGCCCATGTTCAGCCACCCCAGCCCTCTAGGCTCGTAATAAGAGCCCACAGTATCAACCCGGCCCGTTGGCCTAGGTGGCCCATACCCAGTCGGTTGGGCCCCGTTGTCATACCCTGGCATTTTGGCCTTGTCCTTGCGGGCCGCCAACTCCTGGGCCGTCGGTGTCGGTAGCAGCCCAGGTCCGCCGCTGCATCCTTGCTCACCCGGGCCCACTCGCTCGCCGGCGCCGGGCAGGTTGCCCCCACTTCCCGCGGTCACCACCTCAGCCGCCTCTACCACCACGACAGCCGCCGCCGCTAGCGGCGCTTTCGCCACCACCATCGCTCCCTTCCGCGCGTCGCCCGCAGCCGCCGCGGCGCTCGCCTCCGCGCCCCCATCCGCCGGCGATTCTCCCGGCCCGCTCCGGTTACCACCCTCTTCACCGCCGCCGCTATTCTTCGGTCCGGTGGTGTGCGCGGCGGCCAGTGCCTCCACGATCCTCTGCACCTCATCGAACCGCTTCCAAACTCTCCGGGACTCCTCCTCCTGTACTCGCCGCTGCTCGCCTTGTTCGCGCCGGACAGCCCGCCATTCCTCGCGTTCTTCCTCAAACTCGGCTACTAGGCGATCCAAGGTGGTCTGGATCAGCTCCAATTTCTCGGTCTCGTCCACCAGTTCCCCGTCCCGCGGATCGGAGGCCCCATGGTCGCCGCCGCCATCTCCCGGCATCCCGGTCGAGGCCGTGATCGAGGCTTGCTCTTGCGCCGCCGCTTTGGGGGCCTTCTCAGCCGCTTGCATCGATTTCGTTGACACCATTGCACTCTTCGTTCTCTGTTTGTATTCGAACCCAAGAACCGGGCTCTGATACCAAATGATAGAGCTTCGGATTAAGCTCTATCGAGGAATTGGGGATTAGGGATCAACTAGGGATTGATCCGGGAAATTGGGAGATAGATGATAGAAGAATTTAGGGGATTTGAGATGAGAAGGAGGAAGGAATAGGGTTGCTGCCGCTAGGCAGCTTGGAAGAGGGAGGGGGAGGGTTCGGCGATCACAAGGGGGAAGAGAGGAGGAGGAAAAGCAAATAGGAATTAAGTTTATTCTTGCTTACCATCACCTACGTAAACAACAGTTTAAATACCCAAAACACAATTACCGACTAACTACCCCAACTTATTAATTCTCCAACTATTCCCCAATAACCAAATTAATCCCAAATTAAATAATTCAAATCGACATTAATCCTGTCAAGAACCAGTTGATCCCAATAACTCGAGTTGTTGGGAGAGGTTCAATCTTGGATCATATACCACAACACTAACACGCCCCCTCAAACGAAAGCCACTCACAAGGGCTTGAAGTTTGCACAGGTCTGAAGACAAGAATACCATGTGCTTAACAAATGGGGGTCACCGGGAATCGAACACAAGACCTCTCGGTCACAGAAGGCTCTGATACCATGTCAAGAACCAATTGGTCCCAATAACTCGAGTTGTTGGGAGCAACTGGTTCTTGACATGGTATCAGAGCTGGTTGTCTGTGAGGTCACGTGTTCAAGTCCTCACGACCCCCAATATTAACCGTTGTCTTTCAAGCACATGGTATGGTGAGCCTGTGCAAATTTCAAGCCCATAAGTTGGCTTTCGTTTGAGGGGGCGTGTTAGAAAGTGGTATAAGATCCACGATTGAACTTCTTCCAACAACTCGAATTATTGGGAGCAACTAGTTCTTGACAAATCCCAAATAAATAAAACGTCTATCAGTAGGTGACTCCTTTGGTTTTTTATCATCACCACCCACTTGGCAGCAACTTGTTTTCATACAAATATATTGCAAGATCAGGAAGAAGGCACAGCACAGCAGTAAAGAACTGCAGTGCCACTAATTGAACACCTGCTGATGATTGATTGATTACGGACCAATGACATGATCACTGAGTAATTCGATCCTGAATTCATTCATATATAAAGCTTCAACAGTAAGGCTTAATGTCAGCGTTACCACAAGTGTTGAAATTTGAGGATACAGGGTCCTGAAGGAAGAGGAAGTCTGAACTATAGTACATTTTGGTCACAAATGCTTCCCATCATCAATTCCCACGAATAAACAATGGGGGAAGGAAACTTCAGAGGTCCTTCTTTTCCTCCATTGCTGGAAAAGCTTCTTGCCTGTCTCTTCTATTTTGCACTGCACCTTCCCATCTCCGAAGCTTCAGCCCTAGGCAGCAAAAAGAAAGGAGGATATTCCATCATGTTCTACCATGCAAAATTGACGCGAATTGAAAATAAGTGGCATCAGAGCGAATTGAAAAACACGAAAGATAGAGGATAACCGAATCCAAATTAATACATTCAACCCGATCTCGGCTAGACTGGCTTCAACTCTAATCTATTTGTTTCTTTGTTTCCAAGGAATCAAATAGAACAAGTTCTAACTAAAAGTTGGAGAACCAAAAACTATATCAAATTATGTGGATCGATTCAGTACAATGTGTGAATCGACCCAGACCCACTCCCCTACTTCTGCTTAAACCCTACAGATCAATTAAACACGATTTGCTATGAGATGGTGACAACCACAAGAGCGGGCAAGATATAGTAATGGTGATACATCATACATGTGTCAATAAAAGGACCCTAACTAACTGCACCACCCAACTCTGAAAAGCGACCAATATGGGGCTTTGTGCAAGTATGAGTATCACGCTAAATAGCTATATCCCACTTTCAGGCAAATAGTGCTAAAGAGCAAAACTCAACTTTGGACCAACTCAGTGTTGAGTGTTCTTTCTATGTGTACGGTTCACATCTTTACAGAGCTGCTTAGAACTTAGCATCATCTCCATACATTTTGCAAACGAAGAAAGAAACACCACTAAGTCATAAACACTACCACTAAATATGTTGCGTCTTTTTTCTCAGTATGTAACACAGAACAATCAAGAAGCAACTGAGTGCACTAGGTTAAATCGTAAATGGGAAGACAAAACAATTTTACAACAATTATGCAACAAATGGACCAATAGCAATGGGACAGTCTCACCATTAACAGAACCATGCACCTAGATAAAGAAAGAACAGAAAAGCATAGACAACCATCCAGTGCTTCATGATGTAACCTATTCATGGCTGTCTACATCTTTTACCAGACAGGTGATGCTTTCCTTTGCTGAGCCAGACAAGCGAAGCTATACCAACTAAAATGGTCCACCATTATGTCACCACTCGATATAGCAATTGACCAGGCCTTGTTCCCTTAAGTTTCTAAGAAAACTAAATCAAATTCTACTCCAAAGCACCAACTAGTGCTTAGCATCTAACCGGCAGCACAAGCCCAAACTATTATGCATCAGTACTCAATAACAAACTGACTGCTAGCCTTTGGTTAACAACAGATTGATCCCTTCACTCCAATGGCAAAACCTATCCCTACTGATTACTTCGTTTCTTCACAATAATTTTACTGTAAAGTTGGCGTCTTATCCAACTAATTGTGGTACATGCACTTCTATTTCATTTTTCATAGTGATAAATCTTTCGTGCACGGTGCATAGTAAATATCCTTTACCAACATTTCATCTTCTCCCAGACAAAGTTTACTGTGTGGCTTCTTTGTTCTTAACACTTCTATTACTATCAATTAGTTAGAAAAGACAACCTGGTATCCCATTGGTTAAACAGGATGGGTTGCTTACCATAACAAGGATCTAAATGAAGTACCAATTAACTATAAAAAGGCAAGGTACCAACCATTCGTTGAGAGTATATGCTCTCTACCTAAACAGTTTTAATCCATTTAAGTATGTAAAGCACGTTGCAGAGCTTGTTAAACATCAACCCACTACATTGGCTGAGTAGTATTCTGAATGGAAAGTATTCAACTAATCTTACATTTGAATCTCAAGGCAGCCAAATTGGCTGGTAAAACTCGACGGGCGTACAATGTACGCCTGCCATATGCTAGCCTGAACCATATATATATAACCTGGTACGACTGACGCGCAATTGCATCTTACCTCACGCATCTCAAAAGCCACTGATCATCATCTCCCAGCAATTATATAAGCTGTGCCTTTTTAAGGTCAGAAACAACTCCACGATCTTCGCTGCCTCGTTCATTGTACAAGACCTAAATGCCACAAAAAGAAAAGAAGGGAAGGTAAGCTATTCCGTCTGGCAGATAAAGCATATATGTTAAAACAAAAACTGAGTAAGCTAAAGTACTTTGTCAATGATTCCATATTCAACTGCCTCAGCCGGACTAAAGTACTTTGGCCGACTGATATCAGCTTCAATCTGTTCAGATGTCTTCCCGATGTGCTTTGCAAATAGGTTGACCTGGGCGAAGAAAAATCCACATATGGGCTGACTAATGAGCACAAGGTTCAACCAACTAGCTGAAACTTAGGAAGATGGAAACTTTACTAGAAGTCTAGCAGCAATACTTTATCATCCCACAAAAGGGATTATCATGTTAAGAATTTGGAAGCAAGGAGATCATTATCATCACTTGTGATACGTAACCAGAGGCTCACCAGTTCTGCTTTAACATTATTCATCTCTTTTCTTGCAAGTTCAACATCTGTAGCTTGGCCCTGAAATCTGCCAATGGGCTGTAGATAGGAGGATAAACTTCAATATGGACATGAGCCAAAAACTAGGTAGCAATCATACAACACACCTGGATGATAGTTATAGCATTATTATCTCCAGTTACCTGCTTAATCATGATAGTTGATGAAGGTAATGCAGAACGGTTTCCTTTTGCACCAGCAGCCAATAACAAGGCAGCCTCTCCCCAAGCATTACCAACGCAGAGAGTGAATATTGGTGGCTTTACATACCTGCAGCAGAGCATTAGTCATTTCAGATCAAAACAATTGTCTGCGTGCATAAAGAAACAACTATAGTAGATTAAACACAATATATTGTGAGACAAGGATGATGAAAAAAGAAATCATGACCACACAATAGCTCATCAAGAAGATGAGGTTATAGATTTGGAGCATCAATGAACTAAGGAGCGTGTGGATTATATAAAAAGGAAGAAGCATTAATCAGAAGAGCATGAAGAATCATTACCCCATAACATCATAAATAGCAAAAGCCTCCGTCTCATAACTCAGCTTTTCACCACCCTGAAAAAAAGAACAAAGCAAGTTAACAAGACAAATGGCATGTAAGACAAACTGTTGCATGAAACATTGCTCCAGGATGACAGAATATTTCTTTATGACTTGCTATAAATGCACATATCTCTACATGCATTCTTTAGATATAAACAAGTGGGATGAGAATTATGTGAAATGCAGAGAAGGATTCTTAAAAAGGACAGGTCTGTTAGCAAGATCATTAGATATTTTCTCTTTCACAAATGGAAGCATCAAACTAGGGTTCCTAAGGCATTAGCTGCAACAGAACATAATGGAGGAAGCCAAGAAAGCCAGCTATGATATTTCCTTCAGTAGTGAAAACTTAGAGAGCTCATCAGGAAGCCAAGAAAGCCAACTATGATATTTCCTTCATGAGTATCCATATTTTAACAGACAAGACTTACGCAGAGGCCACCAACTTAGTGCATCTCTATTGCCAAGGAACTCGGAAGGAAAGGTCAAGATATCTTACGATGCTAATCTAATTTAGATTCGGAACATTATGCTAATTCTAACGGACATATACTAGGACTATGAGTGCATATATATGTATGTTACATTCAGAAATTGCCATTATTTAGAGTGTAATAAGATGACTCCAAGAAACAAAAAGTTAGGGCGTTAAGGGGAAGGAAAGAATGCCTTGGTTGTCCCTGTCGAGTTGATGTAAAGATAAATAGGTTTTTCTTCATCTTCATACTGAAGGTAAAGAAATTCTGCAAGTATTAACTCTGTGACGGAAGGAACAAGGGACATGCCCAGGTAAACAATCCGATTCTTGAACAAGTAAGATGCTAAATCAGGTGGAGGTTGCTCCCATGCACTTCCCCTCGTATAAGGAATAACCTGTACAGAGAAACATGCAACAAAAGAGTTATAACCAGAGGAATCTACTGTGTCTGTGATGCTGTATACATATAAGAAACATAGCAATTCACTGAAGCAGGAATTTTTCATAGAATAAGGACATGGCACCCTCATTATTGTCCTAAAGATGTACCAACAGTCAGACATCATTCCATCAAATTTGCCATTCAGACTTGCAATGCCTACATAAATTTTAACACTTTTCAAGGATGGTAGCAAAAAGGTAGTCTCTTTCCTAAATTTAAAGGTACTCTAAGCATTGACATTGTAAACCTCTTTTTTAGAGAAAGCAGGCTAACTGCTGACTACCAACTCGACCTCCATTCACTGAATACATGTTTTGACAAATACTGGGAATCCAGCATCCCTTTGCCACCTCATTACCCAAACTGGAAGCATTCATTATGGAATAAAAAATATCTTGCTTCCAATTTTCAGTGTTCGACAATCAGATTCAGAACCTGTCCACCAATATACTCAATAATCCAACTAAACAAACCGAATTGCAAATTCAACAAGAAATGCATTCAGTTCAACAATCGGCCAGCAGGACAGGAAAAGAAACGAACAGTACCATGGCGACGACGCTTCGTTTGGCCTTAGAGCTTGGAATTGGAGCTGGATACAGAGCGCCCGGCTTGCTTCCGATTCCATACGATTCTCCAACGGCGCCGGACGAGAAGGGAGAGACGGTGCTAGTCGAGAGAGAAGTCGACGAAAAGGGCGAGGAGAAGATTGAAAGAGCTCTGTTGCGTTGAATTGGCCTGGAAGTAGCTGCCGGGAAAGACGAGGTGAGCTTCGGAATCGCAACGCTTGAAGCTGCTGCTATGGCTACCTCCATTTTTTGTTTTCAGTTTTGTTTTTTTTGGCCAATGTAGGTGAGACTGACAAGGAGAGAGTTAAGAGAAGAAGGAAGAAGATAATTTGGACTCGAAGTCAGGTATATTGATGGGCTTTTGACTGTCTTAATGGGCTCGAAGCTGGTATTCCAACTAGGGCTTTCGGCCTAACTTTAGGAATTGGGTGGACAAGAGCAAATTACCTTTTACTACTCTATGTTTTACAGGAAATTATAGTTTCGAATTTACAAAAACAAAATCCTATTGAACAACTTAGGTCTCGTTCACTTCCATTTTCGTTTCCTGTTTTCTGTTTTCATGTCATAAATTTGGCAACCGAAGCAAGAAAACTTGTTTACTTTTCATTCTGTTTTCTATTCGTTTCTAACCATGAAAACAGAAAGTGGCAACTTCCTGCTGTTTTCGAAAACAAAAAAATGTTGTTTTCACCCGTTTTTAACATTTTTTTTCTCAAAACAGGAAACAGAAATGAAAGTAAACAAGCGCTTAGTGGCAAGATAAAAGTTCAGCTGATTTTAAACAGAACTAACATCAAAATTTTTTTCTATAAGAATAAAAAAAACCGATTTATAATTGACAACTCTCTTTCCTATATTTGCTTAAAGCACGTACGGTAGATGGCCAAAATCCATAATTATGTAGCCATAAAAATCTCCTTCAACACAATTTCTACAATTTTTATTAAAAAAAAGAAAACCTGTTTAGAATTATTGAATTAGATTACAAAAGCAGGTAATCGGATAGTGAGCATCAAATCAAATGAATATGTTCAAATAACAAGAAAAAGTCTTTTGAACATATTCATTTGATTCGATCTCTTCAAATTGCTATCCGGTTACCCTAAAAATCACCATCATTCTGCTACATTCTTCTTCTTTTCTCTCGTCGCAAGAATATTATTGTTCTTGATAAACCTCCATTCGCTCCCTCGAAGTGGGAATCTGATTCCTGCTTCGAGGACAGGAGAAGAACAACAACGGAACATTGTTGTATGTTCTTCCTCCTGAGATTACTGGTGATTGATCATTGTTCAATCTAGGGTAACCAGACCAAAAAAAAAATTGCAAGAGAGATTTTTTTTTAATTCGCCCTGTCTGTCAATTGCCCAACAACGAGGCCCCCAACACGGGTATCACAATGATCGAGAGCAACAAATCACACGAATTCTCACGACCGTCATCAAAGATGGTCGTTCTCATCGCCACATTATTCCTCCTGCTGCCGTCTCTCGCAACCTCGACCGACCTGTTCCCCATCGTGAACGTGACGTTCGAGAACGAGATGCAGCACGCCGTGGACCTGATGTGCAACTTCGAGCCCGAGCAGCGGATCACGACGCTGATGCCCGGCGAGCTGGTGTGGTGGACGGTGGAGGACATCCTGTTCCCGGCGGTGTGGTGCTACCTGCAGGTGACGGATGACTTCTTTGGGATGTTTTGGGGGTACTTGGTGACAAAGAATTGCGGGACCCTTTGCCGTTGGAGGATCAAAGAAGATGGGGTTTATTACGTGCAAAGCAAGGATGGGGCGTTGCAATACCAATGGCTGTACCAAATTCCGGGCGGCGGGTTTGTTTGATTCATTCATGTAAATCTGGGGATCCCTGCAATTTCATTTCCTTTTGAAATTGTTCATTCAATGTTGTATCTCTTAGACACAATTGGTCAATTGGGTAACTGGTTGCTGGCTATTATATATATATACGATCGACTGGCTGCATGGTGATTCAAACCTCTCGCGTAATACTTTTAACTATCCTTGTTTTTTAAGTTATGAGATTTCTTTTTCGAAAGTAACCATAGATCACTAAGATGGATAGCAAATTGAAGAAAGCAAGGTCGGAAAAGAGGAAGGAGAAGAAGAGAACAATATTTCATTTCATGATGATCGTCTATAGACTGAGTCAGATATGGGCTAGATCGCGAGTACGTGAATGCACGCGCATTGTTTTCAATAGTATCCAGAAGTATAATCGTCAAATCTGCCGATTTAGTACAATATCTCTGTATAGTACAATATCACAAACATGATAGCTAGCTAGGAAGAAAAAGAGGGTTACTATTTGCCGCCCGGGCAATTACTATTTGCCGCCCGTAAAAAACACTAAAAGGACAATTTTGCCCTCCAAATATTTCTTTATATTCTATTCGCTGAAATGGTTTTTTAAACAACTTACACACTACCCGAGTCCCGACCACCAACCCCCCACAAACACCACAACCACCGGACGGCAGCCAAACTCGCCGGCCACCGGACCAATCTCGTCAGGATAATTCGCCGGGCACTGGACGACAGCCGTACCCCGTCGTCGGACCAGCGAAGCAGGTAAACCTCTTACTGATCCTGGTTTTTTTTGTCGGTCCACTCGCCGGCGTCGGACCGCGTCCGCTCGCCGGCGAACGGACGGGGTCCGACGCCGGAGAGCGGACGGGGTCCGACGCCGGCAAGCGGACGGAGACCGACGACCGGTTGCATAGCAGTTTCGTATTTTTTTCTATTTTATTTCTAGAGCTAATAATCTATATTTAATTTATTGCTTTTATTTCTATTTTACATAGTTAAATTCCTATGTAGTTTGAATTAAGCGAATAGTATTTTGTTGTAGCGCTAATTAGTTTCTTACTGTCAAATTATCGTTATTTTGTAGAGTTAATTAAATTATTGCATGTAGTTTAATTTTGTAGAGTTAATTGAAGCACAATTAGTTTAATTAAGCGATTGTGTTTTGTTGTAGCGCTAATTAGTTTATTGTGTTTAGATATAATTCGTAGAGCTAAAGAAGTTTAATAATTTATATTAAAATAATTTTCTTATCGTCAAATTATCATTATTTTTAAGAGTTAATTAAATTATTGCATTTAGTTTAATTTTGTAGAGTGAATTGAAGCACAATTAGTTTAATTAAGTGATTGTGTTTTGTTGTAGCGCAAATTAGTTTATTGTGTTTAGATTTAATTCGTAGAGCTAATTTGGTTTAATAATCTATATTTAAATTATCTGTATTTTTTAGACTAAATTAAATTATTGCATTTAGTTTAATTTTGTAGAATCATATAATTTGTACATTTCTAACGAGTTGTAAAATCATAATTGCAGGTGGACATGGCTGACAATGTTGAACTAATTGGTGATTACACAGAGAATTTTCTCAATGGCGTCCGATATGCCAATTTCGAAGATGCTGTAACAGTGACCAAAAACATCGCGATGTCTCTTGGTTTCTTTCTAACTAAGGGATCGATGAAGCCACGTGAGTTGATAAACAAAAGAGTATTGGGTATCTGTTATATGTATTGCGACAGATGCAGTAGGGAGAGGAAGTCATACAAGCCGGATCCTTCCAAGGAGAGTCGTGGCAATACAAGTTCAAAAGGAGCGGGATCTATGGACATGTTCAGGATTAAAATCAAAGAACTACTGGTTAATCCAGATGCTCTTGATGGACCTTCATTCTGGGAGATACAAGGAGTCGCGGAGCAAGGAACCGGTTTAAGGCAAGGGTATCACAATCATGAGAAGATGCTTTATCCCGAGGGCCACAGTCAAATGAATAAATTGAGTCAGGAGGATAAAGAATCTCTTAGGGAGATGAGAGATGCTGGGGTACCTCCGTCGCAACAGAAGCAGACAATAAACAAGCAGAAGGGTGACAAAGGGCATCACACCCTAAGGCAGATGTATAACCTCGGGTCCAAGTCTAGGAAAGACGAGATGGGCGAGATGAATGCAGTGCAGTATGCGTTGCTAGAAGCTGAACGTGAGAATTATCATACAGAGGTTATGAAGGATGATGACGACGTGCTGACACATCTTTTTTTTGCCCATCCAACTTCCATCCAGATGTTGAAGGCTTGGCCGTACGTGATTCTGATCGACTCAACGTATAAGACCAATGCATATAAATGGCCGTGGGTGGAGGTCGTAGGTGCTACTCCAGTTGGGACGAATTTCAACATCTGTTGTGCTCTCATGAAGGATGAGACAAAAGAGTCTTATTTGTGGCTGTTGCAGTGCATACAACAATTGCTCCATCCACTTGTGCCCACTGTCATCGTCACCGACCACGAAGGTGGACTACTTGCTACGGTTCCTGTGGTCTTCCCCCGCACCCCGCATTTGCTATGTGTTTGGCACATCAACACCAATGTGCAGAAGAAGTGTTTGGAAATATTTGGGAAGGACAGGATGGATTTGGTCAACGAGGCGTACGACCAATATTGGTGTCCTATGCTTTATTCTTGGTCAGAGCAAGGTATGTTGGCCGCGTTTGGCCGCTTTAGGACAAGATGGGGCAATCAAGAACCACGTCTGTTGCAATACATACAGGGAGTGTGGTGGCAACATCGAGAAAAGTGGGCTGTTTGTCATACAAAAAATGTGTTTCATCTAGGAAATACGAGCACAAACAGGGTTGAGTCGTCACATTCCGCTTTGAAGACTTTCCTCCACAACTCTCGGGGATCTATGGACACTGTATGGAAAGGAAACCACCACTACATTACTAACCAACTCGGGGAGGTTAGGATGATGTTGGAAACTCTAGACAGAAAACCCTTTCAGCATCCGGTGGTACACCATTCACATACTTGAGAAGGAAGGTCAGCATGCAGGCAATTATATTAACGAAGGAGGCTGAAGAAGAATTGGCTGCCCGCTTGGAAAAAAATGAGAACTCCCGATGTGCATGTCATTTCTCTGTGACACACAGCTTGAGGTGTGGATGTCAAGTTATGGATGGCAGAGCGCGAGACATAGAGATATATCCCGGTGATATTTATAGAGTAATTATGATACATACAATTTGTTATCTACTTAATATTTCGTTTGATGTTATCTACTTAATTTAATTAATCTGTTATAATAAATTATTAGATTAGCAATTTCTTCATAGTCATAATTTATCAATTACTAATTATGATACATACAACTTGGTTATCTAATTAATTTATCAATTACTAATTAATTTAACTAGATAGTTATTCAAATAATTATTTCAACTTACCCAATTAATAAACTAACACATTATATAATTAATTAACAATTATAATTATTTCAACTTACCCAATTAATAAACTAACACATTATATAATTAATTAACAATTATAATTATTTAAACTTACCCAATATATAAACTAACACATTATATAATTAATTAACAATTATAATTATTTCAACTTACCCAATATATAAACTAACACATTATATAATTAATTAACAATTATAATTATTTCAACTTACCCAATATATAAACTAACACATTATATAATTAATTAACAATTATATACAAATTAATCAACTATCAATATTAAACTAATTAATATACTAACAATTGTATTTAAAATAAATCTAATAAATATTTCTTTAAACCGAACCATTCAAACCAAATCAGAAACTCAATCAGACCGGTCCGACCAGACCGGGCGGACGGGGTCCGCTCCGACCGGGCAGACGGGGTCCGCTCCGACCAGGCGGACGGCGGGGAGACAGTATTAAAAAAAAAATTACCTCGACGCCGACGACTGGAACAGCGGCGGCTTCGGCTTCTCCTGGGCGGCGACTGCGAGCAGAGGGGGAAGGCGTCGGCGAGCAGAGGGTGAAGGCGGCGGCGAGCAGAGGAGGGGGAAGGCGGCGGCGGCGGCGCCAGCGAGCGGAGGAGGGGGAAGTCGGGCGGCGGCGACTTGCAGAGGATGGGGTCGCCGTTGCAGGAGGGGTGGGGGTGGGGGTGCAGGGGTGCGGCAGGAGGGGTGGGGTGGGAGTGGGGGGTGGGTGGGTGGATAGATAGGGTTAGGGGCAGGGGCAAATTCGTATTTTATGACCTAACTATGGGCGGCAAATAGTAAATCGACGGGCGGCAAATAGCGATTCACTTTTAGAACTCCTTGGAGTCCGTTTTAAAGATGTTATACAAACCAGTGAACATGAGACAATATTTACATCCATCAAATGTTAGACACTTGAAAACATTTTATCAAAATATGACTCAGGAGGAATACATGTCCTTCAAAATGTTACTATAAAAATGTGGGGTTAATTGCACGGTTGGTCACTAAAATTACAAAAAACGTTCAAGTTTGGTCACTCAAAATATTTAAATCCATTGGTGGTCCTTCAGTTTACTCAAACCGATTCAATCAGTACAATATCACAATACAATACGATATCACAAACATGAGAGCTAGTTAGGAAGAGATGTCATAGTCTTCATCCCTGATGTAGCAAAATTGGAGATGTATCTGAGTTCAACTCGATGCGGGAGCAATTTTGGAGTAGGGTTCGTTTGGCAGTCTCGAATCTGAATCTGTATTGCGATTGGCGTAGGCATACAACAGAAAGTGGGAATGGCAATCAAACCCAAACTCATGAGTACCCGACCAAACCCAACCCAATCAATGCGGATAAAACTCGTGTTGACCGAGTTCGAGTTTAACCCCAGTGTCCTGTTGAACGAATTGGGACGGGTTCGGGTTTGGGGTACCCGCCCGTGAATACCCGGCCATACCCCCCCTAACCCTAATATCATAATTCTCCCACTTCCCATAGACCTCAACCTAATTTCTCTATTCTCATTTTATTCCAAGTGAGCGAGCGGCCGCACTTCACCTTCCCTCCCGGTGACTCCTCCAATTAGGGATGGCAATTTACCCACCCATGTGTAATTTTGCCCAAACCCAAGTAGACCCATTTATTATGGGTAGGGTTTGGGTGATGTGTGTATGGGTTTGGGGTTTGTATATGGGTTTGGGTTAGATATGGATATTATCTAAATGGGTATGGGTTGGATATGGATATCCATTTACTTGTGGGTGTTTTAACTACACATACAAAAATTGGACCTATTTGTAAAACTTGAAAAGTTTAGGCACCAAAATGTGATACCAAAAAATTTTAGGTACTAAAATGTAATTTTCATCGATATTTTGAGGACTTATATGCAAAAAAAATTAATTTAGGTACTAAATATGTATAACTATTAAGTTTAGGTACCAAACTGTAATTTGCATTTAGGTATGGATACAAACCCAAATCCATATGTTAAAAACCCATCTCAACCCAAGTAAATGAGTATGGGTACAAACCCATCAAACTCTACCCATTTAACATCTATTTGGATTTCATACCCAACCCAATTGGGTTGGATAATAAAATATCCATGGATATGGGTAATATTGCCATCCCTACCTCCAATTCTCCAATTGAGAAATATATTAGTTAGTAAAGTCTTACCTCCATACTGATTTAAATTTTCTGACCGTAGATTTGTAGTGTCCCAGTGTACCTTGTTCTTGTTTCTAGCTCCGTCATCGGATCAAGGTTTCCTAGATGGTCGAGGCCCATCGTGTGTTAGGCTAACGGTAAGCCCATAAGAAGGTCGAGGCCCAGTTCACATTAAAAAAATGTCCTACATCATATTTGCGGTTGCCAAATCTTTGTGAAGCCCACGTGACTATAAACCATTCACAACCGTACACGTGTCATCTGCCACGAAGTACAAAAGCTGAAAAAAGCTCCGCAGTTGAAGATAGATAACCCCGGCACTCGCTGCAGAATGAGCTACTGAGCAACCACCATCCACCAGACCACCACCATCGTTCGTCGCCACCTCCACCGCCAAAAATGTCCATTTCCACGACGCTCCTCTCTCCACCGCCGGCGGCCACTGCTCGCCTCCTCTTCCACACCCCCACCCGGCCCGCCCTCTTCCTCAGACCCACCACATTCCTCCGTCTCTCCGCCCCCAGGGCCTCCGTCGAAAACGGGACCGGAATTCCAGCCTCCTCCCCCGCCGTGGCGGTCGAGGAGCCAGCGAAAGCTAAGCCCGAAGCAGCAGCGAAAGACAGCTCCAACGGAGCGGCGGCGAGCAAGTTCGTGGATGGTAGATGGATTGGCGGGACTTGGGACTTGAAGCAGTTCAAGAAGGATGGGTCGATGGAGACTGATTGGGATGCCGTTATCGACGCTGGTAAGAGAATTCTCTCGAAATCTAGGTTTTGTGTTTGGCTGTTTATGATCCTGAATGATTAATTGTCCACACAAACGTCGGTTTTCCTGGGAATTTCTCTGGCCATACCTGTGGATTCTCTTGGAAAGAACCGCTGGGGGCTCCATATATGATATAACCTAATGTTCAATCGATCTGTAGCATTAGGAAGAAGTACGCTTTCGGATCATTTTTCGGGAGGAACTAGGTAGATTACGTTATGATGGTATGGATTTGAAGGGAGAAAGTTTGTATCTTCATGAGTGTATATAGATGAAGCAGCCCAAGATTAAAAAAAAAAAAAAATTTGCATAAGAATGGGTGTTTGGTGAAGGACTGTGCGGCTACCTTCATGGTTAACAGATGGTTCAAGCAGCAGCTATCTATGCGCTCATTGCTGGTATAATGTTATGTGTTTGTAGGATTGGGTGGTCAGGGTCTCTCGAGTCTCGTCTTGTCTTCTTAGTTGTTCCCTTGCTCCTTAGGCCAATGTTATGTGACTGTCCAGTATACTGATAGTCAATATCAGAGTGTTCGACGCTGATCGCTCCTATATGTATCATGGGAATCCTGAACTCATTATTGAGACATCTAAAGGTGATCTGTTAGAGGATGAGTTTGGTTGTTCTAGTAGTGTCAATACTGAATTCAGGTGCCCAATGTGATACATAGCATGCTGAGTTCACTGATCAAATTAGTACTTCAACCTGAAAACCAGAGCTCCATGGATTCCTTGAATGGCAGGGTATTGTTATTGGATTGTGAAATGAGTCATGTGTATGCTGCAAGTGTTTACTCTCCTTAGCTCTGGTTTTTCTGTATGGTCATGTTGAAATTATGAGGGCTGGTTCTCTAATACCTAAGGATCCAATCCACCCGTTTATGCAATGTTCTCTTTACTCAGAGGCCAGGAGGCGAAAATGGCTAGAGGCGAACCCTGAATCAACAAGCAATGATGATCTTATCGTATTTGACACATCAATTATACCATGGTGGGCTTGGGTGAAAAGATACCACCTGCCTGAAGCTGAACTACTCAATGGTCTGTCACTAATTGTTTCTTCCAAAACGCGCATTGTTCTCTTCCTGTGATAAGAATGAGTGACTGACTTTATCGCTTCTTATTGTTCTGCCACAGGTCGTGCTGCTATGATCGGGTTCTTCATGGCTTACTTTGTGGACAGCTTGACCGGGGTAGGCCTGGTCGACCAAATGGGCAACTTCTTCTGCAAGACCCTGCTGTTCGTCGCAGTCGTCGGTGTGCTTGTGATCCGAAAGAATGAGGATCTCGAGACGGTGAAGAAGTTGGTGGAAGAGACGACCTTCTATGACAAGCAATGGCAGGCAGCTTGGAAGGATGAGAACACTGGCAGTTCAAAAAAGGAGTAGCCAGCTCTTTTATCTTCCTTAACCTACTTGTTGGTCGAGTTAATTTTCCCCTTGCCTTTTTGGGGTTCCCTCGTGTATCGTTTGGGCCGGTTAACTAGGAAATATGGTGTTGGGCTGGACTGGATTGACTCTTTGATTCACTACCCTGTCATTAAGCATATTATCATGAGTGTTATTCGGCTTGAGCCAGCGTTATTATTTCTGAATTGCTTGCCAACAAACTCTCCGAAGTGTTGCCTTTTTCGAAGCGTCGATTTATTAGTGACAACATTATCACACCTCGTGTAGATTTCAGTTAAAAAAAAAACATTATCATCTAGTTAGAAAAAAAGTATTATAAGGTTTCCGTTACACATAAATGCATTACGAAAAACGATATTATGAAAGTCTTTGATTCGATTCATTAAAGATTTCTTCTTAATGTTCTAATTGCAATAGTATTCACTACTGCTATCATTAGGCTACTTAAGGCATGTGTATCAACTTCTATGTTGAGTGTATCCTTATTACTCTAGGTACAAAAGACTAGAGATTACTCACTTGTATTGTACTGTGCTAATATGATTTTCTTGTATTCTCTAACGGATATGTGAAGGTTATGTGTGAGATAAGAAAATGATCTCAATGTACTGGATTCCCTCGTGAAACCTTACTAGTTAGATATTTGGGTGTGCCTCTTATAACGGTTAAGCTTACTACTAGGGATTGTAATATTTTGGTTGATAAGACGACAAGGTCTAGAAGTTGACCTACTCTATTAAATTATGCCGACAAGATACAACTTATTTCTTTTATAGACGACAAGGTCTAGACATTTCTAATGATGAAACTATATATGGTTCAGAGTAAGTTGTAATACACCTTAATAGTAGATTATAATTTATAAAATATGATTCATATGCTAATTAATTAGACATATGAAAAAAAGACAAGCGGTATGCTATTAGCCTCCTCTCCAAAAATCTGAGTTCAATTCACTCTAGATTCCAATTCACCGCACGATTTTAAATTTCTCAAATCTCCCATTTGATCGACTCATTCACGGAAATGGCAAAGCAACTACTTTTTGGCACTAAGCAAATTGACAAAAACAAAAAATAATATAGTATAAGTAAAAGCCATGTTTATTCGATGGTGGAATGTCTTTAATTTTGGCTCTAAATGTAGGGTTATTTCTCAAAATCTAAATATTAGTGAAATCCTATAGGGCGGCGTTAAGAATCGAATTCTCTTTCGTGAGGAGTTCAACTAATTAATACAGTAATATCATGGGTTAATACCTTATTTTGGTCCGAACTATGACCATATAATCAACTTTGGCCCGTGGTTTCAGAAATTAACATCCTGACCTAAACTATGCAGCATATAAACTCAATTGGCCCGACACATAGTTTGACCATCAATTTGGACGGTCAACTCCGTTGACCGTTAGTCAACATCGTTGACCGTTAGTCAACACGCTTATGTCATTGCCTAGTCAGCCTAAAAATCATTAAAAAAATGCAAATTCAAATTATTTTTCTAATTTTTCTTATTTATTATCAAATTAACCACAAATAAATTATAAAAAACATAAAATAAATTTGATTTTTTTATTTTTTGGATAATTTGAAAAATGATAAATTTTATAAATTAACCAAAAATTATCAAATTATTTTATATTTTTAAAAATTCCCACAAAAATATAATTTATATTTTAAATTTATAAAATTTAATTTGATAATTTTTGGTTAATTTATAAAAATTTATCATTTTCAAATATCCCAAAAAAAATTATTTTATATTTTTAGAATTTTATTTTTTGGTTAATTGGAAAATGATAAATAATAGAAATTAGGAAAATAATTTGAATTTGAATTTTTTTTAATGATTTTTAGGCTGACTAGGCAATGACATGGCATGTTGACTAACGGTCGACGGAGTTGACCGTCCAAATTGACGGTCAAATTATGTGTCGGGCCAATTGAGTCTATATGCTGCATAGTTGAGGCCAGGATGTTAATTTCTGAAACCACGGGCCAAAGTTGATTATATGGTCATAGTTCCGGCCAAAATAAGGTATTAACCCTAATATCATTTAACAAGCACTTCTAGCTAGCCTTTATTTTGTAAGGAGTTTTATAATATTTTAAAGTATTTGTGTTTTTTTTATAGTACAAATTGAAATTGTAACATCCCGAACCTTTTTCCGACAAGATACTGTCTGCTTTAGGCGTTTACACCCGCACGGTTTTCGACTTGGGGTGCAATTCAAGGTGACTTCCCATAAGGTCACTCATCCTTGTTATGCTCCGCACTGAGTACGTTTAACTTCGGAGTTCTCAGAAACTCTTCCATTTCACCCCAAAACGCGTCTTGTCAGTTAAGGTCGGTTTCTTACTTATGAACCATTGATCTCTCCCGTGCTTTGTCGATGTGGGATTTGCCTAAGGTGTTACAAATTTTTTTTTTTATAGTTTTTGTACAAATTTTTTAACAGTACAAATTCCCTTTATAATACAATCAAAATTTGTATTTTAAACATTATATTACAATTTCAATTTATATCTCGAAACACCCATATTTTAAATTCCTATAAATGTGGTCTTATTTCATGGGTAGAAATGGATGTAACCAATATTGCCTTCCAAAGTCGACAAAAAAATACTGCAGTATATATGCCGGAAATTGGTCCAAAACATGTCCCTCTCAATCCCCACCTAATTTGCATATAATTACCAAATGTATATTATATTATTATTAGGTAGAAGGCAGCTGCTAGCCCATCGACACTTGTTTTCAATACGCAACGATATATTTGTCACCATGCACGTTGGAGGCTACCTTATGATTCCAAACCAGCCGTATATGCATATATGTTCACTAACAACTTTCCATTTCATTTTCACCGTCCTGATTGGAAATTAGAAAACAAAACCTGCTGGCCTCTACCTAAGATTGATCGAGACCTTAATCTGTTTTCCGTGGTGGTCAGACGGTTATTATGGCGTTTGTTCATGACTTGAAACAGATTATATGCCATCGATTGGAAATTATGGAGGATTCGATATTCAGTCGATAAGTTGGAGTATAGGAGCGAATCGTTCGATTTGGGGGTTCAAGGGAAATGCCACTGATCCATGGTGTATGAGCTTGAGTGATGGATCCAGGATTTTTGGAAAGTAGTGTAAGTCGATAAAAATATATTAATACTAAATAAATTCATTCATAGAGTACATAATTTCATTGGTTTTCACTGCGAGTTATAAATTTGTACATTATGAGAGATTTGTGAAATATCTTTATTATTTATTTGCAACTCAAATATCTTTTATTGCATACAACCCACTAATCATCGATAAGTTGGTTATTAATCGTATTTCATATATCATTTTGTATATCAAACTCATAGTAAACAATTCATTTCATTACTTGAAATTGCAAAGGATGTGCCAATTAAAATTTTAGAGGTGTGTCGGAGATTTTAGTTTCAAATTTTTATAATGATGAAACATGAATTTTCATCGAAATCTCATGTGTCACACACCTCTCCCTAACCTAGGTTTGCACACAACGTATATATAGCTAGATTTCCTCTTCATATAACAAAAGTGCAAATACAATCCGTTTTTTATCATTGAACATTATATCGTCCCATATCAAGAACACGTACAATTTTTCTACCTTTATAGAAATCTCAAACGAAATCTCTCGACAATAATGAAATTGCAAGTTATATCCGTGATATTATACCAAGATTACAAACACGTCTCATAATGACCTTTTCTTATCATCAATCAAAACTTTTATTAATAATAATGACCTTTTATATATTATTATTATTTCTTTGTATGAATATGAGACTGAATCTCCCAAAGACTGTGATCAAGCATTTCCCCTAGTCAAGATAAATGTCGCAATAATTTTTGTTTATGTTCTCCATCCTGTCGTTGATTAAGTAATTAATTATTCCTCCTGGTTTTGGATGGATAAAACAATAAACAAGACAACAATGGCTGGCTCTCCTCTCCTGCCATTTATATCTCCGTCGCTCTGATAGCAATTAAGACCTGATCACCTCTCCTCCTCCATCGCCATGCCTGCTCAAATGGCGAAGCTTTGCAGGGACAAGGCAGTGATAGTGAAAGTGTACGGAGAGAAGGCCACCAAGAGAAGAAAAAGCAACGCTTCCACTAATACTAAGGTCCACCACGTCGTCCACCATCACCACCACCTTCACGTCGTCCACCACACCGTCGACCGAAAACCGGTAGTTTCCCCGGCCGGCGACCGGAGAGCCCGTCTCCTCGACTTCTCCAGGCGCCTCCGCGAGTCCGCCGCTGCTCATCCCAGCAGCAACGCCGCTCCTCCTCCCAAGAGCCAGAATGGTCGCGATTCTCAGCCGCAGCCGCAGCATCGCCGGCAGGGGTCCAATGGTGTAAGCAATAAATTGTTTATGTTATGTTTCCTCGTTGTCCTCTTTTGAATTCTGATCGGTGCTTGTGAAACCGTAACGTATATGGATGGTCTGATCGGGGGAAAAAAAATCTATTATTGGATTGAAATCGATATCGAGTTTTCGACAGATCGCTTAGCCCCGTTCATCTTCGGCGCAAGAGGGCTCGATTAGTGAGTGAGCTACTACGCACTCTTTTAAGGGTGGCTGCTTCTAGGCAAACTTCTCTGCACCCCTACCTCCTTTATCACGGAGTCATAATTTAGGGGCGTTAGCTGATAATCCGGATTGTTTCTCTCTCTCGCGAAGACGGTTTAATCATGGATAAACTATGATTTCAACATAAAATATTTAACTGTTGACTTTTTCGGTATAATTACCTACGGTTTATAATCCTTTGATTCTGATAATCTGATTATACTTCATGGTTCTTAATTGGGGTTAGATTCTTGCTGTGCGAGGAAGGCCAAGCAAAGTTTCCGCAACCTCTTCTCAGAAATTTCAGAATTTCTTCAGGTCTATTATAGTTTCAGCTGGTGGGTGCAAAAATAGCAGCAACAAGAGCAGAAAGATTAATGGTGCTAAATCCAATTCTTTTGCGTCTACCACTGCCAATCCAGTGACATCTATCATCAATGGAATCAAGGTAATGTGTACATATATAGAAAATCTTGATCCCCTGGCATGCCATGCGATCTTCTATTCCATCTCTTGATTTTGTTATTTATTGTTGGATAAGATAGAGTCAAGTCAAGATGTTCTTAAAAATGGTATATTTTCTTGAATCGAGTTGACTGAATGATATATTTTACAAAGAATCATAATTTTTTTTTTGTTACATAAATGTTGTATGACGAGTCAAGATTCGAGTTTTAGACACTTATTACAGAATTTACAATTAGTGGAGAAAGATTTATAGAATGACGAGAGTGTGATTTTCTTGTGAGTAAGTTTAACCGATTCTAACGAATGTGTGCTAACTTCTGCTCAAACTTCGATTTGTGTTGGATCAGATGCATAATAGCAAGAGGAAGAAAAAGAGTTTCTTCGCAAAGTTGTTCGCGTCGCTTACGAGGCGAAAGTAACACAGAAAATAAAGGACTTTCTCATATACTTTAAGACTTTATCGAACTATTTGAAAATTCGTGGGTTCTCTATTAAATAATAGTGATTGGAAAAATTCTAACCATCACAAAGATGTGATTCACAATGAGTAATGTATCATTTCATACATATTTCTTTTCTTATTCTTACGCGACATTCGAATATGAACCTCGGACATGTACTATATCATTAGGCCAACTCATAGAGATCAACATCATGCATGCAACATTGCAACGTGACGATTCCATCCCTACCTTTTATATAGTTTGTTAAGTGTGCTTTGTTGCATAGTTGATAATGCCCTCGATTGAAATCTTATGTGTGGCGTTCTATGGTCTATTATTTCAAACCTCAGACTAATAATTTAAAAAAAAAAACATCTTATCATTGTTATTTGCATTACGGGCGAAGCAAAAAATCTTAATGAGAGGCCGATTTGAATTATTGCAATTGAGGAAGGGGACTAAAGCCTTACGAACTAATATATTTTCTAAATTGATTACGAATGTTACATATTATTTTACCTATACTTCAAAATTGAGGAGATTATAGCTCCTCCCAACTTCAACTCAGCCACTAATCTGCATTTAGCCACTTACCCCTTAAAAAAAGTTCATCGAAACATTTTCCAGTGCTGCATAATTCTTGACAAGAGAGCCAATACTCTGCCACCAAAAGTTCACTAGCCAATAAAGAAAACTCGAAAGTCATCAAGAACCCCAAAAAAGAGGACAACCTCAAAGTTAAAGCTAAAGTGTAACTAGAGACTCCTCTGTCTCTCTCTAGCTCGGCAACAAAGTGCTAACATAAACAGCAATAGGAATTCTAACGACATGCCTCCTGCTCCCATGCAACACCATCTCCCCAAACGAGTAAGACCTCGTCACATTAGTGGCGAACAACACGATCCTGAGCCGCCTCGAGTTGTGGCCCCTAACGATGAAGAACCGCGGCCTAACAGTGATGTTGATCCCTGCTGGCTTCCTCACGGTCACCCTGTAGAACTCGTCCATCCCACTCACGTTGGTCACTGTCCTGATCACCTTCCTCGTCCCAACTAGGTTGGAGATCGTCACGCTAGGTGTGTTCAAGTCCGAGCACCATGACTGCCGCCTCGGTGGACAACCAGTACCCACTGCTCGCCTCACTGAGTCATCGTCTACCCCTGAGAAAATACAATGTGCATTGAGGCCAATGTGAGAACTGTGTAAAATGCCGAACCACATGAACTGAATGCGAGAGGGTTCGTGTTCTACAAACCTGGAACAGAGCAGAGGAACTGGACATAGTGATCAAAATCGGCATTGAAGACAAGCCCGGGGTCGATGGCCCGTGCTGGGTTCACTGACCCAGATCCGTGATCGAAGGGAGTGGCCGGACCTAGCTGGTTGGCTGATTGTGCAAGGATAGGGGAGCCGGAGAGGTCGCTTCTGTCGGCAGTCGTCATCATGGCAGATGTGATGGCTGCAGGGCTCCACTTGGGGTGTTTGTGCTTGATGAGAGCTGCAACTCCAGCAATGTGTGGTGTGGCCATGCTTGTGCCTGATACTAGCGCGAAGTTTTGCCCTGGAAAAAAGGTTGGCACATGGTGCTAGATCATTATGAAAAGCATTTAATTGAAGAGATAGCATCATTGTTTTTTTTTTTTTTGTATTGAAGGGACTCCTGATGTGCATTTGGAATAACATGGTTGACAGTAGATGCAACAGAATAAAGTGATTTCAAATACAACAAAATGATGGGATTTCAATTTCCAAATACTTGTGAGGTATGAGAGTATTCAAACAAATTCCCCCATGTGAGCCGCATGTCCATTTCACGTTTGCTACCCAATTTGTAGTACCAAAATGCATTCAATGGAACAATGTTTTGATAAATAGACCTCGCATCACGTTAGAGCATGCATAACAAAATAACATGCAATGAACATCCGATATTGATTGACAAATAAACCGAACCAAACACACATGTAAGTTTCTGTAGCCATTACCTTTTATGTAAGGGTCACCTTCACTGTTGGGGCTCCATGCAGCCCAAATCGAAGATCCTGGAGCCATAATGTTTGGCTTGAGGACATCAGCCGTCTGCAATAGCGCATTGTTAACATCAGGGCCTCTAGATGAATAGGACGCCACAACAGGCGCCTGCGCGGTGTAGAATGCTTGTCTTCCGCCCATTATCCTTGCCGATGCAGTAAACACTGTCGCTTCGCCATTGGCCCCTCTTTTTGTATTCGAGTTATAATACTCCCACAAAGCCTGCGAATGGAAAAAGAAATTCGAATTTGATTTCCCAACAAATTTGGAGATTCGAATTTGATTTCCCAGCAATTGCTTTTCATACCGTTGAAGCTTGCATGTTGTTGAGGATAATGGCAGGAATCTTCAAGGTCATTGTGGTACCTTTCACTTGCTCTGACCCCATGGCAGGGTCCATTGTGATTATGAAACCAGAAGCCCCTACCTTCTGTATCGTGTCTGCCACAGTAGCAATGCTTGCAGCCTCGTTCTCGAAATCGAAGTTATACGTACAGATGATGAGCTTCTGATGAGCCAGCGACGGGATGAAGTGTTCTGGATGTTGGCAGCTTTCAACCTCCAGGACACTGGTGGTGTTCCTCTGAGACACGTCAGCTGCAGCTGCTATTGGGACGGACAATGTTCCTGCTGTTGGCGCTACATGATTTTTCCAAGTTCATTGTTAGATATGGTTAATGCTGTCAGGACCACCATTTCAAGTAAAATCAGAACCGTAAGAGTAGAATATAATAGACCACGGTATACTAAATATTTAAATCATTCAAAAAGAAAAACTACAGTAGATAATATTTGAATATCTATATTTGAAATTTGAAGTAATACTTGAATTATTTACAACTTGTGATACCACAAGACATGAGTGAACTCAGTGAAATCACAATCGCAAGTCAAGGGTGAACTTCTAAAACTGTAGGAATGCGGTTCTAACTACATTGACAACTCATTTGTAATAGACAAGGGAAATGGGTTCTGGAGCTAGAGATTAGAGCGCCAAATACGAGTTTAGAAGAACTACTTACGAGCAAGGCCAGTGCCGGAAAAGCTCAGTCCGTTTCCTAAAATAATGCTGTTGTTGTATCTACGATCGGTGATGGATGCAGCAACGGTGGTGATCCATGGGCTGAAAGAAAGGATTGAACTAGAAGAAGGACCACCATTGCCTGCTGCTTGAACCACAAAGATGCCGGCTCTTGTAGCAAACAAAAGTTCCATTTCTAAGACATTGAGGAAAGCAGAAGGACCGGGAGGGACACTTGACGGCCCTATGGAAAGGCTTAATATGTCAACTCCATCTTCCACTGCCTAAAGAAAAAAAAGTAGCCGACTTTTCACGTCAAACTCTCAGCTTTCTGACAAACAATAAGCTTACTGTTCTTGTTATATAAGCTATCAACTTCAGCTATATATACGACTGTTTATACCTGATCAACTGCAGCGACAACATCTGACATGTAACCGCCAAATGTATACAGAGCTTTGTATACAGCAATCCTGTTCCGACAATTGAAAGGGGGAAAAGATTACTAATAAAGTAAAAGAGATGGAAGTAGAGGTGGCAAATAACAGTCCAGCCAACTAAAAATCCATCAAATTCAAACTTTTATAACTTTTGGCCCTTGCACCTAACAATGATGGGTTTTGTCATCCAAACCATACCAAAGTTTGAAGAAACTTTCATTGATCCCCAGCAACCCACCAACCAATTTTAACACAACCCATTATAGAATATGGAGGCCACCGCATTAGGCAAAGCCAAGAGAAGTTTCAGCAATGTACCTAGCACCGGGAGCCATACCACTTGCATATCCATAGTTGAAGTCATTGGCCATCACAGGTATCTGATGGTTGCCAGCAGCTGTTGAAGCTGTGTGGCTGAATAAACAATTCAACAGAACAAATACACTGATTCAAGTAACAATTGAAGCATTGTAGAAATAGAATTCACAGTCAACTAATTGTACTTGCCTTCCGTGGCCATCAGCATCGAAGGGAGATACAAAATCACGGGTAGCATTGAAATCACCAGCAGCAATTGCAGCTCGAGCGAAATATTGTGCCCCTATTATTTTCCCATTGCATGATGTGGAAGGAAACTGCAGTCCAGTGGCGCATTTCCCTTTGAATTTTGTGGTCTTGTTAAACCTTGAGGGCAAGCCTGTCCTAAAACTCGGATGCAAAGGATTTATACCAGTATCAATCAAGCCGATGACAACCCCATCACCAGAACTATCTGCACCACCTAAAGCTGGCCAAACACCAGTAGGTATCCCCAGAAAGGAAGGTGTGTGTGTTGTTAGCTTCTGCATTTTGACGTCTTCGTGGACAGCTCTGACTCCTGTTGCTCTCTTAAGCGCACTGAGGGCCTGCAAAATTTAGCGAACTCCTTATCCTTGTTGAAGTATGAAAGGGAAGTATCATATTAGTTGAATTCAAAATGGAGGGTGTAGGTTGTGTAAGAAAGTTGTTACAGAACAGTTTACCTCATCTGACTCAACATGAACCGCAAATCCATTCAGCAAATGAGTATAGCTATAGAGCTTTGTGTAATTGTGCTTCAGGATAGACTCCAAGAATATGTCATGGCTAATCATCAGCCGCTCTTTGTATGCTCTGGTCGCCTCCTCAACCCTACAAAATGTAAGCGAAGCAGCCACTTAGAGAATACATTTGAACAGTCAAAGAAATATCTAACATTTGTAGGTTCGTCAGCACCAGCAAGTTGGTAAAGCGAAATAAGTTGAGAGAGAGTATCAGGGAAGATCCACAAACCTGAGATTAGTAGTATTGGATTTGACAGAGAAAACAGGCTCATCTTCCATTAGTATCATGAAAACTCTAGCATCCACTATGCATAGGCTGAACATCAGAGACATGAAGGAAACAACTACAGGAATGGAAGCCATGGAGAAGGAACAGTTCATTTGCGACGACACAAGCTTTCGATCTGTTATTGGCACTACAATATCAATGTAGAGATAATAGCACATACTGTATTTTTAGCTACTGAGGAGATGCCAACTTGCAAACTAGCAACCAACCCACTTTACCTGTGAGTATGGAACATGCATGTCATCGTTGTTTTCTAACCACTTAGGGCTCATGCAGATGTAGCTCAAAATTCATCCCTTTCTCATTTTCTAACTGCTTTGGAGTAGATAAAAATCATCTCTCCTTCCCCCACATGCAGGTGATTTCGAATTGGAATTGTGAAAACCGAAACAAGTAAATGAGCATAACAGAGATCCAAAACATGACCAAAATGAATAAGAAGACACGCTAGTGTAGAACATTTCCTTGATAATGAAGAGCAAAAGGTTTTACAAACATCATGCTAAATAATGAATCCCACAGGTAACTAACTGATTTCAGTGAGGGCATTCTGTTCTGTGAAATTAGATCTAAGACATATCTCTGCTTTTCCTGTTCTTTTATGCAGGTAGTAAACATGGCACGAGTTGCAGCGGAGGGTTGACAACTATCAAGATCTTTGTTGTCGAGTATACTCCCACAGAGCAATAGCACCACTGACATGAACGTTGAGTGATCTAACCACTCCCAACTGCGGGATCTCTATACAAGCATCTAGTACATGAATAATATCCACGGGTATACCTTCCTTTTCACGTCCAAGGACAAGGACCTAATAACACATGGAGACATCAGCAATGCATTAAGGCATAATTTTCAAACAGCTTTCTCAAATGTGTAGTGATATCATGATGGTGCCTCTATAAGCAAAAAAAATTTGGATACTGAAGCATGTGACCAAGTTCAAATCTGACTTACTGTCTTTTTAGGGAACGTATATTGATCAAGAGGCACACTATTCGCAGTTTGCTCTAATCCCAGCACAGAGAAGCCTTCTCGCTTCTTTTTTTCAAGGAATTGTTTCACGCTGTGTATTGGGACTTCCATTATAGGAACCCATTTCTCAGCTGTCACACTGGAAAACAAGAATACAATCAAAATCAATGGATAAACGACATGGTAGAAAGTCATCAACTAGAGAAGAGTCTAGCATAGCTATGCAAGGCAAAATCTGGAAAATGGGGAACACAGATACTGTTATTTTCCTCATTTCAACATATCATGCATGAGAAGATAATCCATGCCCTAATAGTAAATTTGAAACTGTATCCACTATACAAGTCTGACCTATGTGTACTGCATGTGTGTAAAGAACAAAATAGTAGAGTTGCACAGAATGAGAACCTTATCAGTTGAAATTGCTTGTCACGTAAGACGCATGCATCTGCAATGACTAGTCCAGATGCTTTGAATATCTACAAGAAAAATGACAAATCAAGAGAACAATAGTTGACTAAAGCATAGAACTACTATATAATCAGAAAACTAACTGATTTCATTAGCAGCAGCTAGAAAAGGACTTAAGGGATACCTCACATGTCCTTGCTAATCCAGCAAGATTTGGTATCCGATCAAGTAAGGAAGCCACAAGTATAATTTCTTGGTATCTCTCTTTTGTTTTCTCGATAGCCAATCTTCTCGATTGGAATGCATTCTGAAGAAGCTCAGCTTCCTTCTCCATTGCTGCAATGAACATTGATATTAATAATAGTACATTTCTATATGGTACTCATTATATCGTTGCAGAAAGAAGGAAGTGCAAAATAAGATAAATGAATGATAAAGTATGAATCCCCAGCATTTTCGTGGTGGGAATGATATTTAACTGTATGGGAAACAGAATATTAAGAAGGGGAAGAGCAATGAGATGTGAAGGTGCCAAAAACTATTTTATTACAGAACGGGGAAAAAAGGTTCGTGAGTGATTTGTTATTAAAGGAAGAACAGAAACCAGAGCGGGTGGCCACAAAAACAAACTGCAACACAATGAGCTGAAAATAAAAAATAAAAGAAAAGGATGAGGAGATTACTCTAGGAGGCTGAAAGAAAAGGGGAATATACCTAAAAGTTGCTTATGTGCATTATTATTACTTGAATGTGTAGCATGGTCCATGTCCTCTGTTTCATTCTTAGTCAAGGTAATCTTTTTCTGGAAATCCAACATTTCATGAGGCAGACCAGAATTTGAAACCCCCTGAGAATCATGAACTTCATCAATTTTCATGCTCTCATTCTTAATAGACACAAGATCCTTCGCCATTGCACTCCTGAGATCCTCTCTAGCGTCCTGCAAAAAAATCAAAGTCAAGCGACTGCCAAAAGAGGAGGAAAAAGAAAAGGAAAACCAACGTAAAGTATTCTGAGGAAAAACCCTTGATGGTCACTGGCTGGGCTTGAAGCCCGGCTCACCCACTCCAGCAGGTTTGCTGGGTCATGGGGGCCAGGGTAGCCTTGGACGTATGCACCAAGGTCCCTCCTCATAAAAAAAAAGTATGTGCTTACATTTAGAAAGCTGAGCACTTCCTCCATGAGGGACGTCGGAACACATTCAAATTCCAGTTCCTTCATTGTGGCAAAAAAGAAAAAAATACAAAGAAATTAAGAAACAATGATAACCTAGACAATAATTCCTCACTAACATAAAGCACCGATTGGACAACAGAATATATATGCAGACAGTAAACTCGAATTCTGATATTTGACCCTTAGCAAAAACAACAATATGACAAAAAAAGACCATGTACTTGTTTGAACTGCTGTCAGTTTAGAAAAGATGAACTATTAGAACAACTAAAAAAATACTAATGGAGAAACATTGCTGCAAAAAAATATTTTTGAGGGAAGAAATATTGTGACAAAATAATTCTAGAGCAAGTTTCTGCCATCAGTTCAATAACGTGCTCACATAACTACCTTAACACACTTAACTTTTGGTTCAAACTTCTATTTTAATCTTCAAACTCAGCAAACATAATCACACATATAATTATATTCTTACCTCTACCCTGTTGACAAAAATTCCAGCAGGTGTAGAGGAGGAGATGGGATTATAGGCCTCCAGATATCCTTCCATTGATTCTCGTAAGCTACAAAAGAAAAATAAATCAACTTACACATATAACCAAATAGATATTAATTACTTACAACATCAACCAGTAGCATCCTTAATTCAGATTAATCAAATGGCATTCTGGAACATGTGCTGCAGCATAAACCTTGCCATGTATTCAGAAAAGTAGGTAGAAGTTAACTGACAGGCAGCCTACAAAACTTTTCATCCCTGTGGAAAATTTAGACGGGTATTTCGGTTTTGGTGGAAAGTTCAAAGCGGGCCAGCACATGCAGAAGAATGGCCAGATGACTTCGGTCAGATAATCCACATAAATTTAGTTCAAGATTGAAGAAACAGAAATTCTCTGGGCAGAAAAGAGTACAAAAGTTATAGATCTATAATACTCATGTCCGGAGAATCTATCGCGGAAAATATGTTCTGCGGTTGAAACTTCAGGAGAAAGATTTTCTTGAAAGAGGTTAAGATGACAAATACTTTTAGTCAAAGATCTGCCAGAGAAGTACCATACCGCTTACAATCAGGATTTCTGGCGAGATACAACTTTATGTCTTCAAAGCACCTTTTTGATAAATCATTTTCACCGGACTGACTGCCTAAATGAGAAAAAAACTTGCAGAGAACCTGGTAGACAAGCAACTGCAGAAACAAGAGAGAATTCAAAAGGATGAACTTCACAGCAACAGGAGGTCAAAGAGCGTTACAGGGATGGGAACCTGAGTGAAACCCCTCAAGCTGTGGTGATGTGAAGTCAACAATGGAATTATTGGAGGAAGCAAGTCATCCAAATGCCTAGATCGAAGAGGTTCAGATGAATGGAGAATGACATTTGCTGATATGAAGACATAGGAAGAGAGTGCCTGCATTTCAAAGATACATGTTTAGCACGGGATACTATTTCTGGGTTCTCCTTATGACTTATCTGAGGAACCACAATGAAATACCTGAGGCCTCATCTCAAAGTTCCGTAAAACAGGAACTAGTTGCTTCCCCACCTGAGACATAAGCAAACAATGCCATCAGAACAGTATTCAAATATTACAAATGCTCAACGAAGAAACACATAAAGCATTTCTTTCTCATTTGTAGGAGACAATCTTTCTAGATAGTATAACACAATAGCTTATATGCAACAAGTACACCTAAGTAGTGACCAAGGCACTCCGAAATTGCATACACAACAGTTACTCTAGCTGAGAAAAGTAGGAAACAAATATTACTCGCCAATACTAAAAATTCAGCTCAAGTATCTATCCATAGAAAAGAGGGAAACCCCTCAATACTCAGGATCTGCAGAACATAAGCATAGAGCGTTTCTTGTCATATGCAGTTCGTTGGTCCACCACATGTAGCCAGGAAGACACGAAGAAACAAAATGCCCACTAATCAACCATTTAGACAAGAACAGTTTCTTCAGCTTTGGAATGCTAAGCACATTATATAACATTTTTTTTTAATTTTACTGAGGAAATCAAGAACTTCGCAAACTACAGAAAGATAAATATATTTTGTCCCTCAATTTCTCTGCATGATCCAAATAAAGCAATGACTTTATCTTGGTGAAAGCCCTTGTAATCAACTTTGTTTTGACATCATTCAAAAAAAATTATCTTCCTAACAATACAGCTGAAGAAGCTGCCATGAAGGTATAATAATGCGGTACACAGGACTGTTCAAGAGAGCTCATGCGAACTGCCATACCACATATCAGAAAATAATAACACAGACCTGAATCAGAAATCTATTTCGCATGTGACTAATGCCTATGTTCCATTATTGTGAAATTGCTACAGCTTTCTTCTTTTCCACCCGACTTAACCAGAAAATACCCATTAAAATTCCAAAAATTTTAGGTTATTGCAATTCTCAAAGTTAGCATAAATCTAGGGACTGAAAGTTGGACGGTTGAAAGGAAAAAGGAAACTGTTGTGGACATGGAATCTTACCAAAGCTGGAAAGTTCAAGAAGATATTAATTGCAAAAGTTTCCAAGTATTGGCGAACAGCTGGCAAGTTGTTGCGCTGCAACCACAAGGTGGGAGTGACTGTTAATGTCAGCATGCACAAAACCCAAAATGAAATAAACCTAGACAGATTAGAAGGTTTGCATGTATCAAAGACTGTAAATAAATAAAAAAGATAGGAGAAAAGACTCACACAGAGAGCAACATGCATACTCTTCGTAACTTCCCCAACTATATCTTCAGTGACAAACCGTGACAGAACACATATCATTTGCCAAACACGTATTTTACGCCGATGGATCTGTGAATATAACAATTTGCAGAAAATTAACATGAGAGAAGACAATACTGGCATTGTCTCTGTCATTTTTGGTACATCTAGCAGAAGTAGATCCAAGCGAAAAGGCATTATTTACCGCACTGTATTTTTTATACAGTTCTTTTGCAAGGTCCCTGTCGTTGACCTGCACAGGTAATTGAAGCAGTTATTTACTGTTCGATCAACGAAGCAATTTGATTTGTGTCACATCAACAAATTACTTCGCGCCATAATGAAACATATGTATAATAAACATTATAGTGCAGAAAGAAACTTGGTCTATACCGCGGAATCAAGAAGCTCAAAGAGAAACAATTTCCCAGATTCAAGAGCAGAATGGCAATCTTCATTTTCATGTGTTGTTCCGACCAAGTCAGCCAACTCACCAAGCTTGTGAAAGAGAGCAGCTACAGATACACGACCGTATAACTCTGTGTTGATAAATGCCTACCATAAAAATATGCATAAGGAAAACAAGCAGATTAGCAGAGAAAAGTAGGAAAGCCATATAACTCTGTGTTGTTAAATACTACATAAAAAGATATAGAGATATCAAGCCACTATTGTTAAATTCGGATGCAATCAGACAACAATCAGGTTGCCGACGCAGGACGCCAAATATATGAAAAAAGCTGTGTGAAGGCCTCAATATTACTAATCTGCAAACCTCTTTGATCATTCCAAGTGGCTTAAAAGAATATGCCCGCCACCCCCTACCACTACAAGTCTGAGAGTTAAGTGGATAAGAAAAAGGTTGTCCTAATAAGACTTGTTACACCCATCAAATCTGCTAAAAAAACAATATCTCCACGCAATAAATCAGCCAAAACTTTAACGTCCTTTGTAATGGTTTTAGCATACAAAAATTATGTCAACAAATCTATGGACAAGGAATACTAAAGATAGGCAATATCTTTATCCTCTCCAAACAAGTAAAGAGACAATGACATATGATGGAAACAAATAACTGAACTGCTTACTTCAGTTATCTCGGGGTCAGGGCTGTTAGCCAAGAGTGCAACTTCAGTCCTCGCGTCATAATTTTCAACCAACTCAGCTTCAAAGTCCTCATCAAAGGCAACTGGCAAAGATTGCATCATATCGGTACAAATTAGTAAGCCCCAGCTATACCCCTCACATGTAAAAATGCTTTCTTTAGATACCCACCAGAACCATATAGTGTCAGCAACTTCAGTTCTTTGATGTAGTACATGGCTATCCGAGGGTGAGAGAGTAAGAGCCCTGTTAGATGTAATGATGCAAGGCGAATCGTACGTGGACTTTTCGTACCCTCCTCGAGTAAATTGCCGATAAACTGCAGTGTAAACACAGCAAAAATAGCCATCTTGTTTAAGAAACTGCCTTCCAGTTAAGTGGACCTTATGAAAAATAGGTTGCAATTGATAGACAAAAACACAGTGCACATGAAAGAGGATGTAGACGCACCCACTTCAAAGGTCCCGGGGTATCACCAGCTACGTGCATCACCTGATCAGCAAACACAGAAGCATGCAAGACAGAAGACAGAACTGCTGCAATAGATGCAACCCTCCGCTTGTTGCTATTGACAAGCAATACCCAGGAGGAACGGACCAAAGGCCACATCATCTACATAAACAAGAGAAGGTTTGTGAAATGAAAAAGAGAATCACTTATGAAGTCTAATAACATAAATAACAGGAAAGAGGAAACGACTTCCCAGATTCAGTCTCGTATAATTCCTAAAGGCATGACATTCATGGCTACACCCAAACCACCACCGCACCAGTTGTTGCCTTGTGTTTTGGAGTATGTTTATGCTTATAAATTATAAATCACAAACCCTTTATGTTCCAACAATCCAAAGGATCTAATTGTGAATCCAATTAGAAGGGAAAAGGTTATAAATGATGCACCAGAATCCACAGAGCATTCAGCCAGTCAGTATCAAGACAGCTTGCAACCAGTTTGAGGTCTTGAGATTTGTTATATATGAAGCAAGATATCATACCATGTAGAGTAAAGATATACCTGAGCATCCACACCAGTAAGTGAACCCAACTTCCCTGGAGCAAACAGTCCAAGGGCCAGCCTGACACACCTCAGCATGGGCAAAAGAGCAACTTCTCCAGCATTTTCAAGGCTGCAAGTCATTCAGAGAAACTTTATGAGAAACAATATAGTCTCGTTGGGACATTAGCCACAGCCGCAAACGTTTGAGCAGAACCGTGTAACAAAAACGAAGATAATACAGTTAGCGACTATGAGAACTCACAATTTACTAAATGAGTCTACAGATTGAATAAAAGAAGCAGCGGACCTTACACTACGCTTAATTGAGTGGTGTCTTTAAGTAGAATAAGATCAAGCTTTAAAACTTTCAGTGGACAAAAATAAGGTAAAATGTCTCATAATTTTAGGAAGAAGTGACAACCCTCTGAATTTAACCAAGAACCAACATGTAAGATCATGAGCCACGTACACCATACTTAGATATCCATCATAATTCACACAAGGATTCAACCAGAGCATCCTTAACTACCCATAAAGATTAGCAGATTGCAATACAACAATTCTCAGTAACAGAATATACAAACCCGATACAGACTTGCTCATTGACATCGATGTATTGAAGGAACCAGCAACATATATCTCTTCAAGAAACGATGTATAACATATACATAATAAAAAATGAGCATTACATGGAGGACTAAGTGTCTCACTAAGCAATAACCATTGAAGGGATGGAGAGACAAAACTTATTTAAGGCAACACTAGCAACTCTGTCACTGGTTACGATAGAAAACAGCAAAGCTGTTACTTAATCTCCTACTCTATAGTTGAAGAAAAAGAAATAGTAGCCATTACCATTATGAGATTAGACCTAAAATCCCTTCATGATAAATCATTTACACAAGGATCAATCAAAAGTACCTTTCAATGAGGTCATCAATAATGGCTTTGATTGCTCTATCGGAGAAGAAGCTGGCATCCTCCAATGGCAACCCATTCCCACGAGCATAACAAGGAATAGAAAGCAGAGATTCCAGACAGAGCCACTGAAACATAGATCTAGGTAAGTGAATTGATCAACATATGTAATACACTTATAATTATTATTATTATTATTATGGGAAGATGAAATAAAGGTCTACAAAAAATTAGTGGGCAGCCGAGACACAATCTGGGCTCTCACTCCATTAGCTATATTATTATGATTATTATTATTATTAATCAGGATCAAGAGGAACATCATGCCTGGTTTTTGTAACTTAACAACATTAGTTATGCCTTCAAATATATACATGACATTGATCAGCACTGCTATGCATAAGTAAACATAAACACCAAGGGGTTTGGCAAGATGATGAGGAATAAAAACATCAAACCACCATAGGTCCATACATTATGGCTGGCATCGAACCCTCGCTAAAACCACAAAACACTAACTCACCACTAAAAAGGAGAAAAGGAAAGGACGGGTGCCTTTACCAAATCCATTTGTGCAGGGACAGGTACAAAAGGTGAACAACATCGAGCCCACCCATACTTGTTGCCCCAAACTCCCAAGAACCAATCAGTAAATTTCAGAAGAAAGCAACTTTAAGTAGAAAGAGCAAAACCTTCTAAGTGGGAGAAAGCCGTAAAACTATTCAAGTTTATAGATCTCCTCAGCTTAATTTAAGGATGAAAGACAAGGAGGGTAAAGGTGTACAAAAACATGGATTAGCACCTTCCATTTCAGCAACACTGCCCTTCGACTTCGTGCTAGTGCTCCAACAGCAAGAAGATTATTGACACTGTGAAGAAAAGGGATAACCACCACATCTAACCATGGTTCATCTTCAGTTAAGTGTGATGATATGTTGTGTTGTTTGATGAGATCCAAAGAAAGTTTTGAGAATGATGATGCCAGTGCTTTCAAAGCATAAGACAATGCCTCATAAGCTGCTACACCAACTTCAGCTCCTGTCTGGTTTACCACAAAAAGCAATCAAAACAATTGTTGGCACAATATAACTAATATAACACCCAAAAGAACATGCATTCAGCACCAGCCAACATTTTCCAACTGGGTCAATCATTGAGCATAAGGCGTACCTCAGAGTTGTAGGTTGGAATTGATATAGTTTTGAAGAAGAAGTCCCACAAAGAAGTCCAAGAAGAATTCAGCTCAAGAGCACTTCTATAGGTAATACACCATGAGGAAATTGAAGCAACCACTTGCACTGATGTTATCTAATCAACCATAAGAAAGAGAGTTTCAGAAAATAGAAAGAACAAAGCAGCAGCAATTAAGCAGCAGCAATTGCTCTGTCATACTTCAAGAACATAACAAAAAGTAAGTACAGGTTGGCTACTTCCTCACTTCAACGGATTAGAGGAGCAAATATAGCAAAGCAAACAGCTTGCAATTCGATTCACAGATTTATTGGAAGAAAACAAGAATCAATTCCCAATCAAATGAGAAATGTGATGATGCACAAAATATTGCTATATCCAGCAAAGGATGTAAAGGTTAAAAGATGTCCATATGAGTAACCCTCTTCCTCACAGGTTTATTGAAAGAAAAAAATACTGGATTCCCAATCAAATGAGATATGTAATGATATGCCCAAAACATTGCAATATCCAGCAAAGGATGAAAAGGTTAAAAGATGTTCATATGAGCAACCCTCTTCCTCCCAAGAAAACATAACTACAGTGAACACTAACAAGTTAAATCCTTGGTGTGCCGGGACAAAAGAACTAGTGTATAATGTGTATTACTTCCACCGGCTCAATGTGTGAAATATTATATCAAATAGAAGACCACCGTAAGGGAAAGACAGAGAGATATTATACAGCTTGTAGCACTGCAGTGGTCGTAGACGATGACAAACGTCGTTGACTAGGACCGCCAAGCTTTCCCCTAACAGGTCCAGGCAAAGTTATATCCTCTCCAATGCTATACCAAAATATGGGACATGACATATTGGCAAAATCAATCAGCTCTTCCTGCATGCAAAAATCAGTTTCATGTTTAACAAATCACAATAAGCCACATTCATTTAGTAATTTGCTAAGGCAACTCTCACTACCAAGATGAGCACAAAGTGAGCACAGAAATTTCTGGCCACTGCCAAAGATTCTACAGAAGTCATTCCAAAACCAAGCAAACTTGCTTCTCTCTCCATTTCCCCACCAATGCAATATTCAGCAGCTCTTTGCTCCGCCAATTGAATCTCTGAAACCACACTCATGCTAAGGATGAGAAATTTGATGAGCAACCACTCTAGTGAACTTTGTTGCTTGCAGATGCTGAGGCCAAGATCATGAATATACTGCACAGAAAAATGAATACAAGATCAAGAGATAGCATGATCATGCATACCAGTGCCACGGACATGTGTAGGACAAGCAAAATAATTTCTACGACATGGAAGTGGCGTCATTTTCATTTCTCGAGGACCTAAGATTGTTTATTCTGCAAAAACAATGGCCTTCTTATCTCACCGGCATTCTTCCTAACCAAGTAAAGGAGGGCTCTAAGGGCAGAAAATTGGTTGTGTAATCATCATTCAGTCAGAGGGGAAATTGCTTAAGGTGGAACCAAAAATGAACATGTGAGAAATAAGCAAAACAAAAAAAGAACACAACATCAAACAATTGACAAAAGTGACTTGGTGCAGTATGCAACAAGGAACTGATTAAGAAGAGCTATTCACCGAAGCATACCTCAGATCCAACCATAATTATTTTACAGCTTTACTTACAAGCACCAACGTATCTAATGTTTTTATGTCAAGGAAAATTATCAACAAAAGCAGATTGATGCCATGTAAATATGAGTCAATATAATGCACAGTACTTCTATTCATTTACTTATTCTTTTTTTTTTTCCCCCGCCTCTTTCGCCCTAGACAATCCATTTGATTACCAACAAACTGAAACCTGTGAAAATCAGCTCAGTTCTTAACAAATAGAGCTGTAAATTCCCATTTGGCTCAAAAACGACAAAATTAACAGGTCAAGAAATGAGAAGTGAAGACAAACCGTCAGCAGAGATGCCAATTCATTTTCCCCCTTGATCACAATAAAAAGAACTCTTGCCCATCTTTTGGCTTCGGCCTCCCATGCATCTATGTCTTCATCATCGTAGGTAGAAACAGTACCAGCAGAAGATTGTTTACTTGTATACTTTAAGGGGAATTCCTGAAGATTCTTCAGAAGCTGAAACTTGGTGCTGTAGTTACTGGAACTCTCATGTTTAGTGGGAGACCCCAGAAACCACTCTTGTGTTCTTACTCTGAAGGCCCCTAAAGGAAAGTTGAGTTCCCCATAAATTGCAAAGCACTCGAGTATAAGGAGAACGAGAAGGATGACAAGCACAAATAAAGATTTGTAAGATAACCACAATAGCTTGTCAACTACATCAAACTATTAAGGCCACATTTTAACAACTTCAGATGAATCACAATCTATTTATCCCCTGAATTCTCAAATCTCAATCTCTTCAGTAGTATCGCGAGGATATATACCCCCATTGTAGCATCTGATAGGAACCTCCAAAAAACCTATAATTCTGACAAGCACAAATTCCTCTTCTATGTTCATGCGGTACCAGTTTGTATGGTCACTCCATCCACTCAAAAGCACAAGAACAGTGATTATTATGTTGCAAGCATCCTCTTGACAACTGCTCACAGTGATTCCACTTTAGGGATCCTACTCATTCATTCATGAATTAAAGCTAGAATTAATAGATGGAATTGTTTCTATAGTTCAATGTCAGGAGGCAGGATAGATATTTCCATCAACACTACAGTTACCCACTACCATCAAGTAGCAAGCGAGAGTGGGGAAGCGATAGGAAACTAGAGCGAAATTGGATAGAGATACTAACACTAGCTAACATTTGCTTACCCCCATGATCTGCAAACTCCCTCGGGAATGCAGAAAGGAACCGCAATACAGCCTCAAGTGGCACTTCTGAGATGCAGACCAAGGATGCAGCAGCCTCGAGAATTTTCATGGACACTGGAATCACCAAGAAAGAATCATCCTGGCTTATGGTAAGGGCATTGGATATTTCAACAATATTAGAGAATTTAGTGGGATGAGTGATTAAGGACCTCGAAGACGATACTTGGGGTTGAAGTGTTGTTTGCTGGTCTCCACAAAAAACCTCAAAACTTCCAATAACTCTGATTTATCAATTGAAGAAAAGTTTTCTGGGGAAGCTTTGACCACCTCTTCAAGCAGATCAGATGCTCCGCATTTATATTTCTCTAATCCACGAGCAGCAGATGCAAGACATTCTGCAAGACCCATTAATCCAGCTCTACCAAAGGGCCGATGTTTAACAACTGATGCCAGAGAATTGATAAGGGCAATCCCATTCCTGAAATCAAATGAGACCAACAGCAGCACATGTCAATCATTTAATGGCCCAAATGTATTTTTAATATGGCATACTCCACAAGCTTCATATACTACGTTCTTTTTTTCTTCCAGAAATAGTACACATCACTACCAGAAATAGAAAAAAATCGAGGTAAACAAAGAACCAGGTTTCAAGATTAATGAGGGTTTGCTTTACTTGTTTCAGAGTCAGGAGAAGACCACTCAAAAGGAGCTAACAACAAAATTACAACGGCTACCCTAGTGTTAAGTGGCGAACCCCCTTCCCTCGCTCAAACATAAACTGTTCGAATAAATTAAATTGCAGCTTCCAAAAGTCATTGCAAGATGAAAAGAGGTTTGCTCATCATATTAGTGGAGAGGAACTACTAATTGCAAGCCTATCCAGCAGAACCCTTTAGCAGAATGCACAGTAAGAAAATTGTTCTCTAAAGAAGGATGAAGGATATGGAGACCCGTCATCAAATCCAGAGCCAGATGTTTAACTTACCTCATGCTTAGGTAAGATATATAGTGACATAAGAACTGGCCCGCTGCTTTTATTGTCCTTGAAGTGTAAACCCCTTTAACACCTAAGGAACCAAAAGACATATAACCATCAATCAGTGAGATGGACTGTATCAACGAGTATAGAACACTACCTAGACTTTATTCGGCAGGACATTACAACAAGAACAAGAGGGAATGCTTCAGCTATCTTGATCTAACAATATTTAAATTGCTTGATCGCAAGTAATTTGGCTTATTTCAAATCATCCAAATGGATGAAAGCATCAATTGAGTGTGATGTTAAGAGATGAATGTGCATCACTAGTATTATAGAACTTGCTTGCTATCAAAGAAGAATTAGAATTTCACTTCTGATATGGGTCATAGATTCAAAATATTATGAAAAGTAAGAGCTTCAACACTGAGAACCACCAGAAAAGAGTAACTGATAACACCAGCAATCCTTTAAGCATACAGAGTTTCTATCCAAATATGGCACTATGCATGCATTGATCTACCAACTAAAAGAGAGACGAACCGAAATCTCTGTGATGGATGGGATCATTCAATGCATGGAGAAATGGACCGAGAATAAAGCTTTCAGGAAGAGATATTGCCGTCTCTCCATATTTGGCCCACTCAATACCCAAAAATGACTGCAAGACCAAGCACCTAACTGCAATCATGATATACAAAACCAGATATTTTTAGTCCTCAGAGTTAACCACAAGTGAAATAAGACCTAGATAGCCACTATACAGCTAACAGAAAAATTAGCATCAATAACAAATATGCTTCTCACTATGCCAGGACATGTCGCAACTACCTTGAGGATTTTCATGACGAAATCCTACTTGCCACAATATTGCTAACCAAGCAAAACTTTCCCTTGAAGTTTCAGATTGGTGTTGATGCATTCCATATGAAGTGTTGGCAAAGTTGTTTTGTGAAGCAGAAACCTGCAGTAGCAATGTCACCTGCAGGAACCAAGTTTCAGTAATAACTCTTCAGCATAATATAGTGTCATGGTTTTAACTCCTGAAGCTAGAACCCTAGAAAGCAGATATTGCTTCGGCTTTTCAAGCAGAGGTTGATCATATTTCCTAAAATCTTTCTTCTCTCTTGAAGCTTAAGATTGTATTTCCCCGTTATAAACAAGCTTTCTTTTCCTATTTCAGAATAAAATGATGACCACAAGGTTTGAGTGCAATGACAGTTAATGTTTTCATCTAAATAGACTGACCTCTAGGCTCACTCATCATAACAGTTACTATGGTATTTAATTAGACTATGAGTAACTGAATCAAGCAGAAAGAAGAGTAATATAGGGAAATCAACAAGGCACCTGGTGATTCCAGGCAGCTTCCACCAGGTGAGTGCCATACTCATCGAGCATTTCATATAGAAGTATAAATGCGTTCCATTGTTGCTGATGGGTCAGAAGGGAATCAACGGAACTGCAGAGTTTTCCCACACCCAGAGATCTAGCTTCCTTGTCAGCCCACAGTTCCCTCCTTGTCATGCCTAGAGGATTTGAAAGTTTACTTTGGGTCTTCGCCTCCGAAGCACTAGATGGACTCTCTCCATTTGTGCAGAGTACGTTTTTCAGTATTTCTAATGACTGCTTCCTGACTAAGCGTTCCTCATCGACCTGGTACGTGTGGTCAAGGGCAGCAATGGAGAAGTGTGCATAGGTTAATCTCAGCTGATTTTGCATGAATATTGTATGAGGAAAAAGAATAACAGTCAGTAATGAAGTACCAGGCCTCTTTTTATTTCCTCCCAAAACTGTCTTTCAGCCCTCACATCAGATTCTTCGGCTTCAATGTTGGAATCAGCAATATCATATCCATCCCTAAAAAAGGTTGAGCACATAGAGAGCACACTATACGCGTCCCGTCTTTCTAATGACCCAAGGGAAAATAGTGATCTGCAGCACTTCCAAACTTTCCCAAGAAAAAGGTTTCTGGTATGCACACAATTATATAGATGCTGTAAGCACATATATGAAGGCATTACACAGATGGTAGATGAACTTGGAAATAAGCAGATTATGGATCATGCAATTGCATGACACCTGTTAGATGAAACTTACCTCGTTAGAAGAAAGCTGTTTTCGTGAATCCTGATCTCAAATGAGACTCCTGGGGTGAATGCTTTGCAAATATTTGGAAGCAGAAAAGCAATAGTACATGACCGAAGGTCTGGACTATGTAAAAGCAATTGCTCGTTCAAACAGCAGAGATCCCAAAGCAAAATACCAGATAGCCTTTTCCCATAACAACAGCCAGGGGTAGCTCTCTCTAATGGTAACATGAGGAAACTTCGTATAGTAGTATCCAGTACAAGAGTCAATACATAGCAAGATACTGGTAAAGGAACATATCCAAACTGAGAAGACAGCACAAAATCTTTATCGTGATGAAGACCATCTTTCATGTCATCTCCACTCTGGAAAGCAGAGGAACTACCCCATTTGAAAACAAATGATTCTGCATGTTGCTGCATGCCCATAGAAAGACCAACGGATCTTAAGAGAAATGGCACCAAAGTTGTCTCTAGCATGGTCCAGGAATTAGTTGCACTCACGGCGCTGAAGAATGATTCTGCAATCTAAGCATATGTTACAGGAGAGCAATGAACAATTTTGTGATTAGAAAGAGCAACAAAAGGAAATTATTCCAATAAAGCTGATAAATGGCAGTTTTTACCTCGTTAAGCAATCCATGGTCAAATGTATTAGCTATCTTCAGCAAGGGAATAAAACATCTCCATATAAAAGACCGCATACAAGGAGAATCAGACCCTGGCAACAGCAAGAAACTCTCATCAACGACCAAAACTACATCAAATTAAGAGCATTGTACTGGGTAAATCAATAACTCCCTAACATTTGCCGCTTCATATCAGAAAAGGAAGGGCCCTAATGTGATAACTTCATGAATGGTCCAATAAACAACAAAATGAAAAGAAACCCACAAAAATGAAAGATCCAGTAATGCTGGAATCCAACAATGCATTATCAGGCATAATATTTCCAGAAACAAATTAACCAAAAAAGTATCTACTGCCTTGGATTTCATTACAGACATGGTTCAAAATTGCTAGGAACTTTCCAGCGAAGTATCAGAGCGCAATAAAATATGCAGTGCAGATTTGGATGCCACATGAACAAGAGCAGAGCAGGAATAACACCCCAGAAGTTACCAAGTTTTTTCAGGAGATGGCAAAGTGCAGCTGCCAATGAGGCAACATTATTACAATGATCAGAACCCAACTTCTCGTCCTTCAGCATATGATCCTGCAGTAAGCAGCTAGAACTGTAAAGCGTGACCAAAGCCTATCTCTAGCATACGAATTCGAAGGGGAACCACAAAGCTTCCGTGTAATGCTAGTCAAAGATGAATGGTTCAGCTGAAGTTTATATCTCATTTCTTCAACAACCAAAAGAACTTTTAGGAAAAATTCTTCGAATTCAAGTAACCTAGCTAGTCTACTAACAATTCTAGCTCAACTAAATTGTAAACACAGGAAGCAGAAGAACTGTTAGCAGCTGCAAGTCGGTATGTCCGTCGTCAATAAACGAAAAATCAGCCATGGGTTAAGCTCCATCTGCAGAGCGAACTACCTTGACGAGAAGTGCGAAAGAATCCTGTAGTGCAGGGAAAAGCGAAGATAGAGATAAACCAGTGGATGCCAAAATGCAATCAAGCATGGGAGGTATAGCAGCCAAGGGGACATCTTTGAAGCTGTTTGACAGAGAAGAGACTACGGAATCCATTAAGTTCCCGTCTCCTGACTTCATGATTGCTAGAAACGGGGAAATACGAGGGATAACGCGCGATGTTCGCTCCTCTGCCGGCGAGGGAAGGCTGGAAGACGTTTGGTTCAAAACCTGGTAGCTTAAAAACCCTAATTCCGTTAAACCCTAAGACCATCCAAAATAGTAAGTGGTAAATATAAATCCAAAAACCAGCTAAATTACACGTTTAATCACTTAGATTATCATATTAGCCACCCAAAAAATATTCATTTCTTACTCGTCAATCGTCATTGACTTTACGTTTTATTTCATCAATGGTCATTTGTCGTTAAGTTCATCCTATGTAGTAGTCAATTATGATCTAGCCAATGACTCCTCCCGTCGCCGCTCTTACAACGCTACCGTCATAGACTTTAATCAGTTTTCCTTCCAACATTAGTGGACTTTACACAGGTATGAGGTAAGTAGGCATAATTTTATCTCGTCGTTATCCCTTGAATCTCAGCAAGCTCAACTTTTTAGACCTTGATCTTAGGTCAGAGGGAAGATACGATTCTCTCGTCATCTGATATGCCTTTTACCATGATTCTTGATTCGGGCTCAATTGTACATCTTTTTACCCCGCTTTCCTTAGTCGTTTGAGGCATTTGCACTCCGGGAGGTTTGGTTTTACGCAGGTTTTTGCCTCGTTTTAGTGTTTTTCAGACTGTAAAAGGTGGAACCAACTCCAGAGTCGAAAGTTGGACGAAACGGCGAAAACTCAGGTCAAAGGGTGGAAGCAGCAGCAGATCACGGTGGAAGCTGTGAGTTCACGACCACTAAGACCGTGAACTGGAGCCGCTAGTTGTGAACCACCAGACGTCCAGAGCATTTTTCAGTCTCACTAGACTCAAGTCAATTCACGGTCGTAAGACAGTGAACTCGGGCCATTGCCCGTGAACTCGACTAAGTGATGCGACGCGTTTTGACTTGAGATAACGGTCTGTGCTTTCAGTTCACGGCCGTGATCTGAGCCCGATCTGGGTATAAAAGGAGGCTTGAGCTTAAGGAGAAAGGGGGGAGACCTAGTGTGAGAACCTTCTTCTTCATATTTCTAGAGTGAGAAAGTGACGAACCAAAGAAGAGAAGAAGCTAAGGTTTCATCTTGAAGCAAAGGATTTGAGAATTCCTTCCCCAAAGGAGGATCTCTTCAACACAAGGAGCAAGGCTAGCATCTCCATGATGGTTTTCCTTAGTCTCTCTTGTGTGTTCCCTTCTCCCAGCATGGAGTAGTCCCTTATTTCACTTGGGTGTTTGTAAACCCTAGCTACAATTATGTGAATGTTTGTAAGGATTGAATGATTTGTGTGTGGATGTGTTTTAATGTGAATTTGGAGGTATTTTCATGAAAGATTGTGTTGTGTGTTTGCCCATCAATCTATTTGTCATTCTAACCTAGGTAGAGAGAAACCCCCTTTCTTTGAAAGAGGCTTGAAAAGCTGGATTTTCTGAGGCAAATCTTGTCTCCTATCTAGGTTAATGTAGGGCAACGCTCTTTGTTCGTATTAGCACCTAGGGTTGGTTGTACTTTGGTCATCTGAACTCCGATTCGAGGGGTGAAGTCTTAACCTTAGTCTATAGGTCAAGAGAGCTACTTTGGTGGCTTGAATCGAATTCCCTTGACCTAGATACCGAGAGAGTGGTGTTTGGCTACTTGTTGCACTTCCCTATGGTTTACAACCACCTTACCACACGTGACCATTTGATCCGACAAGTCATAATTGTTAGCTAGGGGGCAACACCTGGGTGAACCCTTCTCAATTAGTGTCAAATCCATTTACTTTTCCAAACGTTTTAGCTATAGATCGTTGTTTTCACCAAAAAACCAATCGCTAGATAATGTTACAAACAATCGAAGTAAGGGTACATGAACCGACTCGGGTTGACATTTAAACATACTTGCCATGTATTGCACCCAATTGAGGTTTATACTTGGGCCTTAATTTGGAGTTTTATTGTGATATTCGGGACGATTCAATTCTCAATGTTAGATGATTGTGAGTGCAAATGATACAACCCATAACACTTCAAGATTCTACTATTTGTTTGGCTCTATCTCGAGTTGCAATCTAAAAACCCTAGAATTAGAAGTTTTCAACCTAAAAATAGGGTTTGGACCCCTAACGTTCTGCTTGATGCTATATACCATCTCAACCTCATCGCCAATTGTTCACAACAACTCCCTCGGGTTACCCCCTTCATACTTGCGGAATTACCTAGAGGCTTTTGATGCTCCGATGAAGAAAAGTGGTGGAGGAGCATGGATTCCCTTTGTGGCATAAGGAATGAGGAGGAAATTGTGGAGCTGGAGAGTGGTGGTAGCAGGTGGAAAGGTAGATCCCTAAGTGAAAGCAGCTGACGAGAAAATGAGTGCTAATTGCGATTATTGGGGCTCTGATATTGAAGGCGTACCATATGAATGTGTGGATCCTAAGGTTGTCATCGATTTCGAGTCGGAACTACAACAACATGGTGTTGAACCGTGGTTTTTTCAAGAATGTCCTCCCACCGCCGCCGCCGGCATTGGTGACTTGCGTGTCGAAACCCAGGTTCGCCTTGAAGGTGGTGTTGAGTAAAGTTGTATTGTTTGTGAGTAAGAGGCGATTCGCCACGAAGAATGAGAAGAGGCAATTATGTAGAGAGATTTACCTTTCTCTTGGTGGGGCAGAGGGCGTTGAAGATAAATTATTTGTTTATTTAATATTTTATTAATTTTAATGTCTTCGTGGCATTCACGTCAATAAAGCATGTTGATTCACTAACGGTCAATACTGTTGACTGTCTAATTTGACGGAAATTCACGAGTCGAGGAATTAGTCTATATATACAGTGTATAATTGAGGTCATGATTCCAATTTTTGAAACCACGAGTCAAAGTTGATTATATGAGTATAGTTCGAGCCAAAATAAGATATTAATATTATTTTATTACATATGATAATGATGTATAAGATTTCAAGCAACCATATTCGTGATCCTAAGAGAATAATCTGAAATAATCTGGAGAAGTCATCTTCTATCTATAAAAATATTAAAGGGCTTTAAGATTTTGACCTATGCCACGTAATCCTTCCTCTACTTACACGCTATCCACGTTAGCCGCTGAATTCCTTCCCCCAACCGCAACTTCACGGTTATTTCCCTTCCTCGACCTATTAAAACACTGTCCCAATATTTCAGGCCGACCGCCATATGCCTCCCCATACTCCCAATCTTCTTCCTGCCATCGTCGCCGAGATGCTTTAGTCGTTGTTCCAACAACCCTATTACATTGTGTTGTCTTTTCTTTTTTCCGCTAGACTGCTGCGTCGGGAAGGGATTCGTTTCGGTAATTCTTCGTCAATGCTTCTTCATGTATTTGCTTTTCCCCATCCCATCGCTTCAATTGACATATTTGGCTATTTTCTGTTACTTCCACAATTCCACTTCAATTGGTCTTAGGGGTTTCCCCTCTATACGCTTGGGTGTTTGGTACTTTTCTATTTGAGTTTACTCATTATTTTTTTACTACATAATATTTGTTGTCCTGCCTGCCTCATTAAATTGACACCTTATTAATCCCCTGCATGATTAAGTTGTTGCATCTTCCTCATTGATGCCTTCCGCCGTTGCTGCTTCTTCACCCTCAAATAAAGTTGCTTAATTTTCTTTACGCCTAACTATTGTATGTTTCTTTTTCCGATTTGATGCATGACAGCGAAATTCTCATCTTTTCCCTCTCGAATACAACACTACTTAACATGTTAAAAATAATTATGCCACGACTTATTTTTGTAGTTTTAGGTGTTGATCTCAACAAATCTTAATCTTAATAAATCTTAAAAGGGTTTGATAAAAAGAGGTAGTCCACGTCAGCCTTGCAGCAACGTCCGCAACTTTCGGTATTACATTTTTGTTTTCTATTTTTTTATCCATCAGCCTGGCAATTTAGTCTTTTAAGATTTAATGTTTTATTAAATCAAGTTTTTTTAGTTTTAACCGCATAAAATAGTCATAATCTCCAAAACACAACTGTTTAGATATGTTTAAATTTTTTTCCATTTGAATATGTTGATACAACTTCTTATCCGAAAGAGAAAAAGCCTCTTATAAGTCAATTTAAATTGAAATATTTTATCAGACGTTTGCAAACATGATGTTTCTTTCATTCACCCACTACTGAATCTTTATACCCATATACATGCAACCGTCTTCTTTCCACCATAAGCAAACTGAATCGCATGCAGGGGTTCCACCGCCGATTATCCTCCTCCACCACTCCCACGTCGCATCCACTGAATTTTCAGGCAAGTCGTTGTATTTTGCCTAATTCAACCGGATATTTGGGTTCATCAACCAATCAAAGGCCGCAGTTTAGCCATGCAAATCGGCCAACGAATTCTCCTTTTGTCTATTAGGTCGAATCTCCTTAACCATATGATTTTGGATTGCAATTTTTGGATTCATAATAGCTTTCATACACTTCATTATGCACTATGGAGCATGTCTTTTGCAGGCAATAAGGCCATATAATATTGACAACGGTTATCTTTTTTGTTCATTGCCGTTACACTTCCCCGTGGTAAAAAATTTCATCCTATTTTTTTCGCATTTTTTTAGATTTTGAAGGGTTAGGTTCGAATACAAAATCTCGGACGTATCATGGTGAATCGATGATATGATAGAATTTTGAAGAATTTTGCATGTCAGAGTTTTGCACCCTATCCCCTCCTTTTTTTTATTTCATTTTTCTTCCTCGAATTTGGAGTATATTTGTCTTAACACCCCCTCCCCAATCTATAAGGAGAAAAAGTATCTTTTTCATAAAGGATTAGACCGATTCAAAACAAAAAATATATATATATATAATAATTTCGTAAGCATAATGTTATAAGTTTAATAATAATTTCAAATTTTAATTACTTCACTAAAGTTATATATTTACTGTTTTAAAGTGTTATTATGTTTACATGCACCAGAAATTTATAGCCACTATTTAAGATAATTAATTGAGCCATCAAGAATGATTGTTTATTATAAATTATATATGTCTATGAACGAAATAGCCAATTCGATATTCCTTGATTGGGATTTGAACAT